CTCTCATCTTCCAAATAGCATACCAGTTCAATACAGAAGGTGAACAACACTGGTTCTGCCTCCCTGATATATACAGCCAACACGCACAGCAAATGGTAGGGAACGTTACACAAATCTTCGGCTGTTCAAAGCAGCAGTGTTACTCTCATCTTCCAAATAGCATACCAGTTCAATACAGAAGGTGAACAACGCAAGTCCTGCCTCCCCAATACAATACAGCCAACACGCACAGCAAATGGGAGAGACTGTTGTTACACAAAGCTTCAGCTGTTCAAAGCAGTAGTGTTACTCTCATCTGCCAAATAGCAGACCAGTTCAATACAGAAGGTGAACAACACTGGTCCTGCCTCCCAATATATGCAGCCAACACGTACAGCAAATGGTAGGGAACGTTAAACAAAACCACGGCTGTTCAAAGCAGCAGTGTTATATACCGCACGATTGCAAATGCGATTAGCTGGACTGGCTATACACAAATTATCCAATTCTGCGAATGAAAGTTCACCAATCAGACAAATTCCTTCAGCGATGTTTGAAAGCAGCTACTGCTACGTGTTAGCTTCATGCATGTAAAGCAGACGTGTTTCTAGAACACCCCATGTGGTCCGGCTGGGAATATTTCTCCCCCATGTCAACTCCCGCGAGGAAAGTCATTTACCAGGAGGGCCCGTATCCCCCGGCAACTGCATTGATTTCAGTTGATTTATGTTCCTCAGATATTGTAAAACAAAATCATACAACAACAAAATAAAACTGCATGATAGCAGAGGAATGAGTACATTGTCTTTATTTTGGACTCTTGCCATCTAACATTGTAACTGTCAGAGTTACAGTAATGAAACTAAATATTATGTTCTGCAAAATCTCAAATATGAATAGAATAGCAGCTATAGAACAAAAGGAAGTATAGACAATTAATCATACAAGAGAGTACTTTACATTCAAAGATACAGGTACAAAGCTTTCAGTTATGCTTTGATTCCCAAATATGCAAATGAGAGCACAAGCCACAACCCGTATCCCTAGACAACCCCCGCGCTCTGGACGACATCATCGGTTGGTCCAGTCATCTTCCGCCGTTATTCCAAATATATGCAAACGAGGGCATATTCCATAGGGGCCTGGCTGTGTTATTATGTGCAGTGAATGATCGTGGATTGTATTAGGGCCAGATATGATCAGATTTGAGCTGCAGTGATGGGTTTCCAACAACCGTTCCCAGACAGGGCAGGGGAGAAAGTGGATTGATTAGTCAAGCCTCGTGGGACGGACATCAACAAGGATTTAGACAAAGAAGAAGCAGCAGAAATGGTTAATCTTGGAGTAAATTTTTGTTTGACAATGACAAGTGTTTCTACCGTAGTACTAGCCAAATTTATTAGGACACCAAAATAACATCTTTTTCATATTTACAGAATGCCAACCAATGTTATCCACAGCAGTACCCTCCAAAAAACACAGAGACCAAAAAATACAGTGAAAAAATTTAAATCCAGTGAACACAGAAAGAAAAACATACAGCAACTGTTGACAGGTCAACATGTTTTGCTGATGTCTTCACACCGAGGCCAGCAAACACATTAGGCCCAAGTCATTTCTGCTCCTTTTTATGGCAGGGGATTAAGTGAATAAACTGCACTTTGGTATTGATTTTGTTTACACAGGTTTAACCTTCTTGGTGCAGCCTTGTAGTGTAGTACTAGTAGCATCCTTCCATACAAACTAGGTGCAAAATGGTATAAATTTAGTAGGCTGATGGTTGAACAAAAAGGGTGGCAAGAAATGTACAAGACTATTCATTGCTATACTATATAAGCACCATTTTTGTTGATTTTCCTTCACAGAAATTATAACGCTCAGCTCCTGAAGTAATTCCTCTTCCATTTTTATGGGCAGCCATTAAGCGATAAAGCGTGGCCTGATGTTGATTTTATGATTAGAGGATGATGATGAGGGGCCCTTCCACTCCTGAGAGCAGCGATTCAGAACTCTGACTTCAATCAGAGCTTAGCATTAAAATACCTGCAGTCCTGGCCTATATGGGGTAAAGCATTAACGTACCTGAAGACTTGTGCTGTGGGGAAAAACATTTTACCTGTGCAAACACAGTCAAATTACTGTAAATTCACTCATTTTTGCAAGAACTTAATTTTTTCAAGGTAGAAGAGAAAATGTGGATTCTGCAGTATTTTTAAGTTTACAAATTGGTATGTGTTACGTTTCCAATTTATGTTTTCTAATATTTTTGCTACAGCTTCCACATTCTGGGGTACAAATTGGTATACATTACATTTTCAATTGATGTTTTCGGATAAATTTTTCTATCTTCCACATTTTGGGGCATTGATTAGTATGAAATGCCCCAAAATGTGGAAGATAGAAAAATTTATTAGAAAACATTAATATGTCTCAGAGTCATCAGGAGTCAGGCCAGTGTACCAAAGTGCTCTTTTGGATCATTTACTTCCAGACAACTCTCTTATCACTGAAAAAAACCCATAAAAATCTGAAAGACAAAGTGGCAAAAACCGAGTCACAATTCAATATGTCCTGATCTTCTGGGATCGATTCTACCACACAAAAACATGTCAGTTATTGCAATCCCGATACATAATGCTATCTAAACGTTGAAGGTAAAGGCCAACAATTGGCCTAATCACCCCCCATTGCAGCTCCTATCAGAACAAGACAGATGTCTCCCTATGGTTAAGCCCTACATAGCGACCAGACTGCCACAGCAGAAATATACGACTCGTAATCAGTGTTGGGAGATATGTACCATGATGTTATTACTGCTGCATCTGTACGTAATATATGGCTTTGACACTGTGCAGTATCCTTGTGGTACATTCGTTGTATGGAGCAGTTATAATTAGAGTATCATTCACTGGTGGCAGGGAGACCATATGCTCACTAGCAGACCAGACAAAGGACATTAAATTAGTTGGTGGGATTTCTGACTGTAATGCATTAAGATTAACAAATACGCAAGAACAACAGAATTGCTTTTGAGTCCAAAAATATGAAGTATGTTTCTTTTCTTCATAGTAGTGGACCTGATAATGATCATTATGACAGATTTTTAATTTCAGATTAGCTAGAAGTAAACGGCCTCACTGTTTGAGGTTCAAAAACATGAACTCACCCATGTCAGGGGCTAGAAATTAAGTCACACCAGCTGCAGTGTTCACTTGACAATTCTTCTGATAAGAATATTATACAATATGTTCAAACATTCACTTTCAGATTATCTGTTATTGTTTGGTTGTTTCAGGCTCAAAAACACACCTACTCATTGTAAAAATGTAATTGTAAGAGGTTACGCAAGCAGTGATACCTGTGTGACAATACTATTCAGTACTCATTTTTATGATAAGAATTACTGTGATTTTGGATGATTAAGTGATGAGATACTGAACATTTCATATCATCTAGATACTGAATATTCAATCTTTAATATCAGAAGACAAGCTGTGTCTATATTGCCTAGTTGTTTCAGGCTCAAAAACCAACCCACTCTTTGTAAGAGGTTACCCAAGCAGTGATACTAGTGTGATATGATAAGAATTACTTGATACAGTGTTACAAATGATACCATACTGAATATTTGTCATCGTACATTAAACACTAAAGATTTAATCTTAGATTTGAGATTAGCAGTTTCTTCATTGCCTGGTTGTTTCAGGCTCAAAAACACACCCACTCCAAGCCAGCGGTTACCCAAGCACAAGAAGTGATACCGGTATGACAATCCTACTACTTAATACAAGTGTTACAACTGCATATTTAATATCATATATTCTAAACACTAAACATCTCATCTTAAATTTCAGACTTAGCTATTGCCAGGTTGTTTCAGGATAAAGAAAACCCAACCCAAACTGTCAGGGGTTACAGTAATATACCCAAGCAGTGATACCGGTATGACAATCCTACTCATTTTCATGATAAGAAAATACTTGATACATATGCTATGATAATGAACATTTTTCATCATATATACATTAAACACTGAACATCACACTAGCTGACTCTTCTTACTGCCTAGTTGTTTCAGGCTCAAGAACACACCCACCGAAGCAGTGATACGGGTGTGACAATCCTACTCATGCCTCCTGCATACAGCCAAACCACTCCGAGAACCACTGATCCCTTAAATAATCAATGCCAAACTGCGGCCGAGACCGTCGACATGGCCGATCGGCATTCCACACACGACGGCAATAGAAAAATGCAATAAGATCGAAAATAAGACATCTCGGATCTTGTTGGGCCTTTAAGTCCTGCTATGAAATATGCATCTCTTTGCACTCCGCGATAGGAGATTGCCAGCAATATCATTATATAACTTCTATATCTCTGGTAATGCATTTAATATGTGGCTGTGCATATCTAAATAGCCTGAAGACAATGCTGGGCCTAAGCAAGAAATTCTAGGAAGCAAAATGCTGAAAGATTATTAAGAGGTGAGGAAGTAGAATGGAGATGAAGACACTACTGGGAGAAGGCGATGCCCCACCCATTTTCACTCCGACAGTATAACGTATTGCACATGCATGTATGCATGAGAATGGGGGGAGGGCGTGTTATATACACATAGTACCACTTCCTATATATAATGTGATCACAAATCTTCCAACCGTTAAAGCTATCCCTTGTGCACATTACACAGAAGGTGGGGGGAAGCAGAGAAGTCGTTTGGAGGCAAAGATACGGCTGGAAGTTACGGGAAGAGAGCCGGGAGCGAGAAAATATCACCCCCTCTAGTCCCTTGTACAACATCTGATGGAGCCATCCTTTCGGATAGGGAGAGGTGCGAGCACCGAGAGCGCTAGAGGATGTTCGGATAGATTTTTCGCCGCTTTAAAGCGGCCCTTGCCCGGAAAATTGACGTGGGAGCTAGCTAGAGTCCCCGGCAAGCCGCTGCGACCAAGACAAAGCAGATGGAGTGATTTGTGAAGGGATCAGAAATGGTAGAAATAAGTATGAAAACCACCTACTTGTCCCCTTCCTGTCCACCAGAGAACGATCAATACGCGAGGCCCCCTGAGTGGCTGACCTATGCGACCCATCCCTGATCAAAAATCACCTCAAATTTATCCCTCCAAAAACGAAATTACCATCTTAAAATACCAAACATGGTGCTAGGAAGAAAAATTTGTAAGAGTTAAGGTGATAAAGTGTGATAATTTTGGATAATAATGGAGTAAATTATCAGGCACAGAAAGGTTTGCGCGAGACGCACCCAGATTGCGCGAGGCCCCAGTGAGGAGTCATGGCGCCTGACGGCCGATCGGAAACAGGATTCTCCCTGCATTTTCCGTCCTCCAAGGTCGGAGACGTGCAGAACCTCTCCCAAACTCCGCGCAGAAACTTCGTCTACCAGGGGGAGACCATCGACGTTCTCCTGATCGCCAAGTACTGCGAGGAGGACAGGGACGAGGAGAGAATACGCGCGTGGCGGGACCGTGTTTTGGAACTGAGCACGGCCGCGACCGCCACGAGTTTGTTTCAATCGCCGCACGACATTTGTCATCAAGACGGGGGGCTGGAAAAGGGGGCTAGTTCTACTTCCAACGGGAAACAGGACTTCAGAGACTGTGTGCCGCTTCTCTTACACAACAGCTCGGCTAAAGATCAAGCAGAAAAGGTGAGAAGGCCTCAAATACTTTTTTCTAACCGTGCGTGTTCCGTGTTAGACTTTTTTTAGCGCCCTGCTGTGTTGTGTGTTGATGTCAGTGACACAGCTGTCGTTTCGCGCCATTTTTCTCATGACGCAATCCCGGATCTGTAAAATAACGGACTAACCTCACAGCTGAATAAACAGGATCTGCGGACAAAATTTTCCAGAAGATCCGATTATGTAGCCTCCGTAGCAGGCTTATAGAACTGGGGGTTTGGTGGTCTTCGGCTGTTTTCTGATTAGCCCAGTTTAAAAACGGGGGTAATTCAACCAGGCCGGCTATGTTGTCTATATGCAATCAGAAAATAGCACGTAAAAGCTCCCAAAGACCCTGAAGACCCCCAAAACCCCCAGTTTTTGGCATGCTATGAAGGCTACGATCGTGATCCTGTTGCACACGCACGATGAAAACAGTACCACGTGGACTTTTGTTTGTTTACATTCCGCCTGGCCAATGACGGGACACACCCACCCTAGGGCAGGGGGGCGTGGCACTTCTTGCGCAGTTTTAATTGCCCACTTAATCTCTTTATCTTCCTATCAATTTGATGTGCCTTTTTTATGAATGGAAGTGAAGATTAAGTGTTTTGAATGTGTAATATAATATTTTTGATGGCTGTAAGTACAATAGTTCCTTGTGAAACAGGTGTATTTGTTTTAAAATAAGTTGTTTGCTAAAAGATTCGTTGTTCGCAAAAAAATTGTTTGCTTCTTATAAGTAACTTACTAGTTCTAAATTTATGGTCCCCAGAGTGATCCTCTTGGGCTGTATTAACTGTAATTGTTATCTTTACTGACTTTTAAACTTACTGACATTTTACTAGATAAACATTAAGGCATCTGTCTACAGTGTTCACCTCTCATCATACACAAGATTTTATCAGTCCCCGGAGTGGTCTTTTTGACTGTACAACATTTTACCACAAAAAAATTCACAGGGTGAGGACCCAGTGACCATCTCAGAAGACACAGTAGTCTTCCCGCTGAGAGTCAGTCTGGACAAGCTTCCTGTCGGCACCAAACGCGTCGGGGTTTCTGTCGTGGTCTGGAACCCGGAGGTCGACAGCGGAGAGGAAGACGCTGCAGAGGAGAACACCAACGTTCCGGCGGAACCCGCGGAAGAACAGGTCACCAAGGAGGTCAAGGAGTCTTCAGATGTCAAATGCCATGGTAAGTCTTCTCTACATATACTTCACTACACTCTGGTGTAGCCATTCTTTGCACTGATTTTGCATCCATTATTTTATTATTACCGTACTCTAGGTCTATGATTGAGGAGTTTGCAATCATTGAGTTAGAGTGTGGATGGTTTTTGTATGTCACAGGACATTTGGTCTAATGTGCCTGTAAAGCTATGTTCTGCAGCGCAGAAACAAAAGTACTGTAACAATAACATGTTGAGTGTAAGCTAATTTTCAGTTATGTTATCTATCTGTTTTTCTTCCCTGTGTTTCTGTGTGTAGTTCTGATTCTCCTCTGTCAGTACCACACAGACCGAGGTACCTCCACTTCTTGTTTTTCTTTTATTACTTCTGTTTACTGTATGAAATAATTTTCTCTTTTACTTGTGTTTTATCATTGATTTAAGTCAAATTTGAATTCTAAATCTGTATTGGAAGAGAAAATAACTGTAATCTTAGCATTCACATACATGCACACACACACACACATACAAATCCTTCCTGTTCCTGGTCTATTCCTACATAAAAAAAATGTTGATATACAAATAATTATGAACAAGTTGAAATGTTTTATGAAATAATTTCTTTCTTTTTTTTTTTCAGTTACAGAGACATTCCCGTTGTTACCTCCACCACTGGTGAAGTGCAGAAAGGTGTCCGTTGGCAGGAAACACTTTCTCATCATCAAAGGTGAGTCTTGACTTCTTACAAATTGTTATAACTGTTCCCTTGCACGTTACCACTTCTTATTCTTCCCAAGGAGCTCATGTCTGCACCACTACTGTTGGTTTGGTTCTTGGTTGGACTACCAGTCAGTAACAATGCACATTGCTCTGGTGATTCCAATATGTCAAAGCTGTAAATTTAAAACATTCTTACACAAGCTAACTGCCAAGCATAGGTAAATCCAGATCCACCTTCTTTGTAAAATCCTAGACCATGTAACGTTACCTTTTTTATACCTTTGAGTTATCAGTAGACTTTCTTCGGTAATATATTTGGAGGAATAAAACAGAATGTGTTTTAGTAGTAGAATGGTTTATTTCAATTTGAAAACTCAAGACATACACAATTACCACCACACTGACGACAGACTCACAGGCAACCATACTGGCTGCCTGAATTGCTCTGAGGTCACACAAAATATCATTAAAAAAAAATAAAATATGTGTATTATTGTTAAAACATTATTGCATATTATTACATATTGTTAAAATTTATAAATCGTAATTGTACCCATCTCATGATCACTGATCATGTTTGTTGTCTCTTTCCTTTGTGCTGTTCTTGCAATAGTGTACAACTCGTCCTGTGAGGATGTCACAGTCCACCAGCTCCAGATCATTCCAAACTGCAATGCTGCTTTCCAACACGATGGGGCAGAGAAGTCCAGTCCTCAGCCAAACATCCAAACCCCTAGCAAGTAAGGACAACTTCATCCCTCTGAAAAGAACCCATCAAGTCAAGATATCTAGCCTCGAGCTAAGACTTGATGTAGATTTTCTAAGCCTAATATCTAAGACTAAACCCCTTGGCATAAATGACCCCATCTCACTTAAAGCAAGAAATTATGAGTTGTGGTCAAAAGAAAAAGCATGATGCTTCACTGTACAATGTAACTCCTTTGTCTTCAAAATGAAATCTGTAACTTTTTGTTTTCTAACCAGAGCCAATTCTACCTACATACAGTTTAGCTCATTTACATGGTTGCTCCTTGATTGAGTTCATCCTCACATAATGTGAAATAAATTGTTGTCATTGATATGAGGTGAAAACTAACTACATGTAGTTGCTTCAGTCAGTCTTTCTTTATTCTGTTCTACACAATGTCTCTTCATTCCTGCAAGCTAGCAACCTTAGCTCTCAGCATTTCTTTTCAGGTCTAAGATGTCCCATTTCTTTCTTCTTGAGGTCTGTCTAGCCTTACATGATGTAAAACTAACATCTAACTCCAAATTGTCTTCACTTTTTTGCATATCAATGAACAGTTTGTGCTTATAAACCTTCCTCCTCTGGTCTCTTAGTGTCACTGACGAAAGTAGTGGATGCTACCTGAAACGTCTGACTGTTTCCAAAATCATATCCAGTTGCTTGAGTTACTACTTTTTGGCGCATCTTATAATCTAGATGTCTGACCTTCATCGAAGCATCTAACTCCATATGATATAACTTTTTCAGAAGAACGGCAGAAGGCGGTCTGTTCTCCCTGGTGCACACAGACCCTTCCCAGCTGCCCTCACATCTGCAGCCATTAGAGGAACACTGTCTGGTCTTCCAGATCGTTGTCAACGACAACTGGAATGCTGGCAAATATGAGGTGAGTTAACAATAACAGTGTACACTCTTTATTAAGTAAGCCTGGCCACTTTACTCTTCTAGCCCTTCCACTGGCCAGGCCCTAGAGAGAAGGTTTAATCAACCCCTGACAGCAAAAGTTGGTGTAGCACAGGGGTAGGCTAAGCCTTGCAAAACACTGAGAGGATGTTCCTAACTGAAGCCAGGAAGTTATTTTTGCCCAAGTCAAGTGATGAAACAGGTGTAAAGTGCCTTTCCCAAAGTCACAACACTGGGGTTTGCCAGGGATTTGAACCAAGAATCTTCGGTTTCTAAGTAAATCACCCTAACAACACCACCTTGTTACTTGGCAGCTAACATCAGCCATGATTCATGTAAAAGGCTGGATTGTTGGCACTGTATCAGTGCTAGTGCATCCACAGTGTCTAGTTAAGAGTTATTCCAATCTTTGTTTTCCATCTCCAGTCCCTTGAGTCGGCCCTACTTCTCCTGATGCTGTGGCAGCCTGGGACAGCAGTGAACTCAAACAGCAGTGAAGAACACATCCACACTCACTACAGGTGAGTCACACACCTGTGAACACATCCACATTCACTACAGGTGAGTCACACTCACTACAGGTGAGTCACACACCTGTGAACACATCCACACTCACTACAGGTATGCACATTACACATATCCATAGGATATATTATAGGGTTTTTATTTTACACAACCAGTATTGTCTCACCTTGCTTATGTTTTGGTGTCTGTCAGAAAGGTAAGAGACAATGCTCGTTGTGTAAAAGAAAAGCCTTTTAAGTTATTTCATATGCTTTACCAACCTGATGAAACTATTTTCGGATGCAGTTATCAATTTGTTTATCACATTCAATGTGGCAGTATTAGGGTTCCCAGCCAGATGATGAGATTTGATGTCTTTATCCTGTAAAGTTAACAGACAAGGTTGCAGCTAACAGTAAGAACTCAATTGTTTAAAGATCAACATCATGACTTACCCCTTTCTGCCGTCTCTCCAGTCTGCCTGTGATGAAGCTGGATGAGCCCCAGTTCATCATGAATGCCACCTGTCCATCACCTGTCTACGTAGGTCAAAGGTCAGCACTCTTGTTAACACTTTGTCGTTTGTGGAGAGTTTTTTATCGTGATTTACAGTTTCATTAAAGTTTGCAACAGAAACCGTGGAATGTTTTCAATACTCCTTCAAAACCCCCAGCTCTAGCCTTTGATACTTTACACAAAGATCATGTTGCTAGATATAAAGCAACTTTAAACTGTTACTTCCAACACAAGAAATGGAATGACCAACATTCTTGACTGTACAACTCTCTTTGTCAAGGAATGAGCAATCCACCACTTCTGATTTGATTGATTTGATTTATTAGAATTGCAAACAAGTACAATACTTGTGGGCCACAGGCAGCGGGGGCTGGTGTTGTGGCCCACACACAAAACAATCACAAGCACACAAACAAGACACACATTTAAACCTAGTATAAGTATATAAAAATAAGTATAAGGGTACTAAAAACAGCATAGATTAGAATACTAGTGTATCAGTAACTGTTCATTTACTACTAGATACAGTTCATGCGGTTTCTAGCTGCCAGAATGTTCTCGTGTCTGGGGCCACTTTTGTGACACGTGAAATGGTTGCAGAAAGTCTGTGGTACCTCTCGTTTTTGTTGATGGCCCACAGACTTTCTGCAACCTATGGTTCACTGTTTGTTTTTAAATACACTTGTACTGGATGTTGTTTGTTGCAGATTCGATGTGAAGTACACCCTAGTCAACAACCTGCAGGACTTCCTCACCATCAAACTGGTGTGGAGCCCGGAGAAGGCACTGCAGGATCAGAAAGGTAACCTAAAGACGCTCAAAACATCATCAAGATGCTCTAATCATTTATTGCTTAAGCTAGCCTACCCAGAAAGCATTATGAAAACCCATACTTAGGTTCCTTATTTATTTTCTTTAAACACACATAAATGGCAGATATGATACAACCATAGATCTGAACTAGCCTTTTGGCACCAAATTGTACTTAGTTACAGGGAAAGGTAAGCAATGATTCCATTTTATTGATACTATGGAAATTAATGTTACTTCAAAAAGCATCATGCTTCACCTCAGTTGAGGATGACAAAAGAAGAGAATGTATGTATGTAGGTATCACTATATCTATTCTATCTATCATGTACTTCATAATTGTGTTACAGATAAGACAGAGGCAAGTATCAGATCAGCTAGAAGTGTAATGGACTCGGTTGTCTGCCACACACCAAGCTATAACCTGGGGTGAGTGGTAGCATATATGTATCTCTCTTGTAATCATGAGAACATAAACTACATGGAAAACAAGAGTAACTCCAGATCAGCTTTTAAGAAAATGTTGTGAGAGTGTAAAGGAGATATAAAGTACATGTATGTGTGAAATAAAAAGAGGAAATACTTGACATTTTCTTATGTCTCAATACTGCATGGTACATGTATATTGCACAGTCTAGAACACTTATTGTACTTGTAGCATGTCTCACATGTACTAGCTAGAGTGGTGTGGCTTAACTCTTATTTCTGCATGCATGGTGGTGTTACAGTTTGTGCTGCCTGTACATACATGTAATACATTGTACATGTAGTTCCTAGTGCTTTTGGTGACACTGGTGTTTTGTGCTGTTGTAGTTTCTGCAAGTGTGGGTCGACTGTCTCCTTCACTGTCCCCTTCCAAGTGCTGAGACCAGGGCTATTTGAGGTGAAGACATTTGTATATGCTTTGGGCCAAATAGATGGATGTTATAGGTTACAGTTTTGCATGGTCTTAAGTTACTGTCTGCACTGCACAATGCACCAACTTTTCAGAAACTATATTTCTATCTTAGTTACTCATGGCTATCATTAATGTGAGTTTGTGTAAAATACATCCACTTATTGAGTGGGTCAGTTGAAAATTTGGGCAAGGCCAATTTTTATTTTTTTCAATCACAATTCAAGCTTGACTCAGAATTTTATATTTTCCTGTGTATTAGAACAGCCACAGAAAGAATATCTACTGTCATGTACATGTGTATGCTAGCTAAGTGTGGATCCTAATAAACTCAAACTTCTACCAGAACACAGATAAACTTTCAAGCTAAGTATTTTTTATAAAATGACTGTTTTTTTCCCTAACCAGGTTGGGCAGCACATGAAGCTGAAGCTTCAGTTCAACACCATCACTCCAAACTTCCCTCACAGTCACTCCGGCAGCTCTGACGGAAAGTCTACCCCCGGGTCTTCCTTCAGCAGGACTAACAGCCCCAACTTCACACCAGACAAGAAACAGGGCATGGCGGCCAAGTCCTACTCTTTCACTGACTCCACATCAGCAGCTATAGTTAAAACACAGTATTATCCTGCTGGAGTAAGGTGAGAACATTACTAGTAGATTTACAACTTAAAGTTACAGTCCTAACTTTACACCAGACAAGAAAGAAACAGGGCATGGCAGCCAAGTCTTACTCTTTCACTGACTCCACATCAGCAGCTATAGTTAAAACTCAGTATTATCCTGCTGGGGTAAGGTAAGAAATTATTTGATCCTTAAAACTAGGTAAGCAATGCTTCAGTTAAAACAACAGTCCCAACTTTACACCAGACAAGAAACAGGGCATGGCGGCCAAGTCTTACTCTTTCACTGACTCCACATCAGCAGCTATAGTTAAAACACAGTATTATCCTGCTGGAGTAAGGTAAGAACATTACCAGTAGATTTACAACTTAAAGTTACAGTCCCAACTTTACACCAGACAAGAAACAGGGCATGGCGGCGAAGTCCTACTCTTTCATTGACTCCACATCAGCAGCTATAGTTAAAACACAGTATTATCCTGCTGGAGTAAGGTAAGATCTTAGCTTTTTCAGATAGCATCCACAATTCATGAGACAGAGAATTTCATAGTGTTCTACCTTGATAGCTATCCTTCATTGATGCATCAACTGTGATGAAGAATATTACATGTAACTGCATGTAACTGCAAGTATTTTTTAACTAAGCAGAGCACTTTTATTTTGGACTGCCCTAGTAGGCTTTTTTGATAGCTATGATTTGAGATTTTTTGATGTAGCTAATATAAAAACTTTTGAGCTATGAACTTTATTTCATGGTAAAAAAAATCAAATTACATATACCCAACAATTCATGACAATTGTATACTTCACACTAAGAAATGAATATCTAACTAGATTTATTTTTTCTCCACCTCCAGACAAACCAACAGCCCGACCCACTCCCAGGACTCCCGCACCAGCTCTCCCTCCAGATCTGCACCGGCTTTCCTGGCGCAGCCACCTGCACCGGTACTCTCACTGGAGAAAATCATGAAGCACAACTGTAAGGTCTATGTCATGGAACCTAACAGTTAGGGGCAAACTAGTGAGATATAACATACATGATAGCCCTGTGCTAGTTGGGCAGCCCTGGCTGTATCTTCCGTAAGTAGTCATGTGCTCCCCAAATTATGGATCTATTCTCTCACGAGAGAAAATCATGTAGCACAACTGCAAGTCTATTTCATGGAACCCAACAGTTGAGTTAGAGGCAAAGTAGTGAGAAACACAATCATGTAAACTACATGTACATGTAGCTACCCCAAATTTGTATAATACGAACCGATCCTTGCAGCCTATGAATCATGAAGTACAATTGCAACGTCTACATGTATGTCATGGAAGCTGTTAGAGGCAAACTATTGAGAAACATACTCGTGTCAGATGTACATCATATGTAGATTTGCTTTGATGTGCATGTAATAAATGTATAACTATAAGACAAGTTGAATCTATGACGCTTTCATTCCCTGTGTGTGGAAAATTCCACAACAGTTTCCTGTATGTGCAATGTGCAATACCAGTAGGTTGAAAAGTCTTAACAGTGCAAGAGAGCTATGAGTGACTTTTACCTTAACTTATATATGCAGTGGGAATGTTTGCAAACCTTCTGAGGCAGCATTTTGGCTGAAATGTATATTTATTAAGGAATCTATTATGATTAGCAGCCAAGAGTAACCTTCTTTTTAATCTTTAATGGTTAAGAGCATTTTACTAATTGGTATATGCAAGTTAAGTATTAACATGACAATGACAATTAACAATGATAATGACAATTTAACTTTTATCAACATATTATGATATATTGAATATTGCAGAGTGTTATCAAGCTATCAAAGGAGAAAGTTGAAGACTTTTGAGATCTTCTGGCAAAGAAGTATTTGATAGCAAAAATGATTTTACTTTACTAATACTGACATCGAATGTATTGAGACTTGTCCGTCAAATTTGTTGCACGTGTATTCAAGTGAAACATAAAGAGAACTTGCTGTCTATAAGCTCTATATGCAATGCAAGTTGTGTTACTAAAATGAATTTCAAGCCTTCGCTAAAGACAAGCCATTGCTGGTTACAAGCCATTAGTGACTGCAAGCAATTTAACTCCTAGTTTTATAAGGGCTAGTGAATGTCAAGAAGACTATGTTCTTCTAACAATTGTATTATTTGCATTTTAACAGTGTTAGGTGCTCATGTCATTCCATGTCATTGTGAAAATGTTCTATACTATGCATTCTTGGAAGCAAAAGGTTATAGTGGCAATATGCTATAATTTCACTTCATGTGTCTGCTTTTCAGTGTTACCTGTGTATAAGTACTACATGTTTATGTACACTGTAATATGTACATTGCTGTTCCGTGTGTTTTGATAATATTTTATTCATTTTATTGGTTTGACTGCTGTGCAAGCTGTTATTAAGGGCTAGTCTTTGAGTTCAAAACCTGTAGGTTTTGGCTAGTGCTGTTCCAGAGTGTTCTATATTTTTTGTGTAAATGTCTTTGTCCAGCAATGGTAGCTGATGCTATTGTGTGAATCTTCTCAGTGTGGTGCAAGACGTGCCAAAACTAAAACTTACAAGGAAAGGGTTGCGTTCAGTAATGTGTTTGTGGATGTTGCAATAAATGTTGTTCCTCAACTATATCTTGAGTTGATGTACACATTTTTTTCATGAAGATTTACCAGTACCATGCACATTTGTTGAAGGATTGGCATAACAGGTGAATGTCACCTCTTTAAGATGTCAAATCTGAGACCAGACTGTAAGGTTTGAACCACTCACACCGGGAAGGTCCCCTACTCTTTTCGATAAGTGACGTGGGTTCTTTAACGTGCGTGTGGTGTGGCTCTCCCCAAACACGGAACGTCCATTTAACGTCCTAACCGAGGGACGTCCCTAACCGAAGCTAGGTACTCATTTACACCAGAAAACTCACATGTAGTAGACAGCATCTTTTCTTGGTGCTGAAAGAGAACTCCTTTGTATGACAAGCTTTTGTCATTCTTTTATTGTTGTAAGCAACATCATGAATTCAAGTGTCAGTTGTATTCAAAGAAAGTTGAAATTAGATTCCTCCTCTTTCTTTCTTCTCCCCCCCCCCCTTGTTATTCTTCTACCCCCTTCCAATCAGTCCTTTATACCTCTTTTCGTAATAAAAAAAATATACATAGAATACATGGGAAACAGCGGACAGGTAGGCTGTCTTAGAAAATAAATTATCAAGGACAAAAATATATATTTCATTTCTTCATTTATAATAAAAAGAATCAAGAAATGCGGCATTTTCCAAAGGCGTTTCGTTTATACAAATTGTGAACTACATGTGTATGGTTGTTCAACGACTATAATAGACCATTGGGAAGCTAATACAATCGTGGACGCCGTCATAGCACTTACATTGTACAAACCTAACACAGCTTCACCTTTTGTCCCTGTATGATAACAAGATAACAGTGATTCAGTCTGGTGTATTCTCAAATCTTCCCCAACTAAAACTCTTGTTCCTTCATAGGAACAATATGTCTTTCATTCCCTCTTCAGCTTTTGGTTTTTTATCTACTTCTATGATACAACTCGACGGGAACCCTGGCAGTGTGACTGTAGAATGGTCCCCTTCAGGTTGAACATCACTACATGAATTCCTTCATTATATTTCAGTCCATACCATATATGGTATGGATGAAATATATTGTGTTCTGCATGTTTCTCCTCCTCCTCCTCCTCCTGACAAACAGTCAAAGGGATTCAACTCTGTCACTTTTCCACATGCATAAGTTGATCATATGTCAACCATACATGTACTTTTATGCGAAACCGTACATATACAGGGCACTGTATAGATGGTATTGTATGTGCAACCCATATATATACGGGCTCCGCAGGACAAGGGTTAAGAGACCAGAAGCCACTTTCTCAACACCTAACCTTTTGCCGCAGGACTGTTCAGTGGAAATGTGTCTGACTATCAGGAAGAAGCGCTTTCCACTGCCTGGGGATGTAAATCTTTGCCAGCAGCTTTTCATCATTATACACAGCTAGAGAGACAGGAAGAGAGAGTGAGAGAAACCCACACAAATGTGGTCTGTGCATAACCATTTGTATGTCATCATTGTGACCTCCATAGCAGCACTAACATGTTGGATTTCATGGCCAATATATGGAAGAGGTGTAAATCAGTATAACGCTATCCTAGTCCACAATATTCAAAAACATGTTACTTGGGATTGGGTTAGTCCTTCGATGACATTTACTTCATAACATAATAACAAGTCACAACAGCATTTCTTCTTAATAGGTCGCCACAGCCAGCAACGTTTGGGCAGGTTTAGCACCTTCAATCTCTTTCCAAAAAGTCCAATGCGGCCAATGTTTCACACCTTAGCTTCGATTCACAAACTATTGGGCATCACTCATCAAGAAACTAAAAGCTATCATCTTATCATCTAACATTTTGCTAACCTGGCAATCACAATCATACGGGTCGGCCTGGAGGTTGTTTGGCAGCCGGCGTTCTAATTATAGTCCAGTGACTACCATTTTGCCACAGGCCAGACCATGTACCGGTGGAAATCAGTCTGAGTATCAGGAAGGGAAGTCGTTCGCTGCGCTGGGGGCAAAAATATCAGGGGCAGCCTGTGTCCTATCCTGTCTGCTTCATCAATATTACGCGTGGACTACATTAATATAAGTGGGCATCGTGTGTAGAGGAGGCACTGCCGCATCCAAAAGTGTCACGACTCCCCGTCAGACGAACAGGTACTAGTATCATCGGACATTCGGCTGATCCTCGTCCACTGCTGATAAGCTAACCAGGTCAGTGCTGTAACTTTTCTTTCTTTTTCTCTTGGAGGAGGCTACCTCATGGCTCTTAGAAAGAAAATGGTCACATTCCTGCTATTTTCTCTGGCTATGGTGACTATGGGAACGGTCAGGGCAAGCTTCTGCTTCCCTCTCTGTACGAGTGCTATCTGGTCTGAATGCCTGCACGACTCGATGTCTCGAGTGCTTCGCCACCGGAAGGATACATGTATCCTATGCAACCGCCAGGAACTGAGTACTACTGCTGTTAATGGCAGTAACGCTCTCGTTCCTGTCCCCTCTGTACCCTGTTGGCAAGGCATGGAAACAGGACTAGCTGTCAGGGGCCGTCCGTTCGGTGTTCTATCAGAAAGCAACCTCCCGCCCTTTAACCAGTCTGTGTTAGAAGTGTTGGCACTAATCGAGGATGAAATCACAGATGTGGAGGAAAACGCTTTGGTTGGGTTTTCGAATCTGAAAGATCTGAACCTAGATTTCAACCGGCTAACGCATGTCAGACAGAGCTGGTTCAACGGCCTAGAAAAGCTTGGTTTCCTCACATTATCCAATAACAGAATAGCACAGATTGACCATGGGTGCTTTCGCAACATGCCTCGGCTTCTCTTGTTGAGTCTTGAAGACAACTCGTTGTCTTTTCTAGACCCCGACTGGTTCTTTGGGCAGAGTAGGTTGTATTACCTGTACTTGGGGGGAAATAACATTAAGACAATTCCTCCAAGTACATTCAAGAATGTGCGTCCGTTTGAGATATACCTGCAGGATAGTGCTCTGTCCTGTCTGGACCAGAGAGTTTTGTGGCGACAGGAGCTTCTGTCAACCTTCTATGTGAGTGGTTCTAGCATGACAACAGTGCATGATGACATGCCCCACAGATTGGGGTGGGCTATTTCAATAAACGACAATGATTACAAGCAGTACAAAGTGCAGAGTATATCTATTGAGGTGCCCTACTTCTATTTCTGCGTCAAACTCCACCAGGTGAGAAACGAGAAGTCTTTCTTCTGGATGTTTGACTCGAGAGATGCTGTGCCTCGTGACAAAACAAAACACATCCCTTGGTTATGTGATGAGGTTCTTAGTTCTCTAACGGCAAGCCCCATACATGTAAGTCTGTCGCGTTTTGTTGCCATTGCCACAAATGACCATGTCCTCCCAGACAAAAGAGACCCCGGCTACCAAAGGTACCGAGAAAAGTGCAGGCAGGTGTGGGAACACAACATGGGCGTTACAGTTCCTTTGAAAGATAACTCGACCTTACAGCTGGTGTCCATGGGTTTGGGGAACACAAGTAAGGCAGACGTTGCCATTCTGGTAGACGATGCATCAGGCATGTTGTTAGTCAGCGACGTAGAGTCAGCCACTGAAAGTCAAAACAGAACCAATGCGAGTAATAACCTCACAAATGTAACTTGTATCATCCTCTCCAAACACAAATCGTACCCGTTGATCTTAGAAATCCCTTCCGTCCCAAAGAGAATCCACAAAGAATGCCCTATAAAGCATAAAAGCGACACAGACCCAACAGGCTTCCCTACACCTAGGCCCAAGACTAGATCTAAAACAGTAATGGAAAACGCATCTACAGCCGAGAACTCGATCGCGATGTCCTCCGCAACCCAGCTAGGCACTCTCCAAACCACACTTGATCAATCAAAAGCAGCATCAAAGTTTCCTCTCCTTATCCCAATCGTGAGCGCTCTGATCATTTTACTCTCGGCCTCGGGGTTTCTGCTGAGGAAGTGCCTGCCAAAGCTCTGTCCCACTCAGTGGGGTAACCCAGATGATGTAACCGCTGCTGCCCAAGGCCCTTCCGCACTCCAAGACATCCCAGATGATGTAGCCATTGCAACTCAGGGCCCTTCTGCGCGCGATCACCGTTACACAGAGATCCCAGAACATGTTGTAGCTCTGGCCCAGTGGCCTTTGCCGGCAATGCCACACATCTGCACCCACACAGAGATCCCATATCACGTTGATATAGCTCAGCCTCCTCTGCCGGAAATGCCACACACTTACACAGAGATTCAGGACCATGTAGCATTAGCCCAGCGGCCTTTGCCGGCAATCCCACACACTTACACAGAGATCCCTGATAACCTAGCTTTAGCTCAGCGGCCTCTACCTACCCTCCCACCATTACCATGGGGGATTGCATGCGATGCCACCCTTGCTGCTCTAAGGTCCGCGCGGAGAAGCAAGTATAACACCCTTCCTTCTTTAAGACGTAGACGACAGGAGGTCCAAGATGTCGCAGTATCTTGCGAGTCTCTACCTGCCGCCGTCCATTCCTTAGAAGTCGACTCAGATCGTAACATCTTAGACAGCCCGGATGATGAGACCATTCGCTTTTACAGGGCTGCTGCAGAGCTGTCGCTTCCTACAGTCACAAAAATCAGGCAGGGCCACCCGTCTACAGCTGACAGCCTGGTTACATATAGAGCCCCCACGAAAGTCAAGCGACATTGTGCAAGCACATACGGAATTCTTCAAACCTATAGGCCATGTGCGAGCTCAGCTGAGGGGATGCGACGTTTACATGTAACTCGTAGAAGATCCTTGCCCATCTATTCCATCACAGATACGCCAGGGGAGATCCTAGCGAGAGAACCCCAAAGTGTACCATGCCAAGAGAGTTTGGATCCAATGTTACCAAACACCTATTGGCCATTGGATATTTCTGGGACAGGGGCCCGGAACACAACAAGGCGAGGGTCCCTCCCTAATCTCACTAACACTTACTGGCCTTGGGAGATCCCAGGAGAAGGAACCGAAAATACACCATGACAAGAGTGTTTGGACCCAATATTACCAAACACCTATTGGCCATTGAAATTTCTGGGACACAATGTAACAAGACGGGGATCTCTTCCTAACACCCAATGAGAATGGACAAACTACCAGATGTAAATAGGGAAAAACATCAAATATTTCCTATCATTCGGACTGTTCTCTGTCATTATCCCTATTTTGGGTCATTAACATCATTTATGCAGATGAGTATTATAGTATTGTAAAATTTGCATAATGTACAATCAAATTGTCACCATGGTGATTTCATTAGGTTATACCAACCTGATGAAAATTTATATTTCAAATTTACAGAAATTTTTTGCTTTCTCTCAAAGCTAAACATTTCAGAAATTGACACAGCGTGCATAATTAAGTGCTAAGTGACCATGCTTCTGGAGTCTTCACTACCAGAAGTAGTGTGACTTTTGTGTAAATTTGGCGACATAAAATCTTCAAGAAACGTGACATAATGTGACTACACATAAAAACATGTGAAACTGAAAGCGAGAATTTGGGGGAACTGGGGAGAAACAGACATTCTGGACGTTAAATGCTGCCCTTTTGTTGTGGTGCCAGACCAATTAAACCTAGGTTACTAGGGGCCAGGTTATTAGTGGGTTGCCTTAGGGGTTGGTCATTATGTACTACGGCGGTAGTCACTTCATAACATGTCAATTTCCCCAGTCAACAGCAGCCCTTGTCATGTGGTTATTGAGGAAAAACCCTCCTTTCGCTGCCCAACCAAGGGTGGCAGCTATACTTCCAGGAGAGAGTACATAAAACATAACAATACATCAAAGTAAGTAAAGTAAGTATACATCAACATACATATGGTCGCCATAACCAGCAATGTCTAGACGCATGTGTCATCTTGAACAACCCAAAATATCATCTTATCTAACATTTTACCACCAGTGGGAATCGGTCTGAATTACTCTCCAAGCAGAGGCTGTGGGGGAATGATAGTTAGCTTTTTATATATGGCCGTTTTTTTGTCGCCAATCCCACCCGTCGGTGGCTGGCGACCTTCTCTGGCCAATTTGATACTGTCTTTTTGCCAGCGGGGATCTGCTTGGAGATTAAGTCTGAATATCAGGAAGGGAACTCTTCCGCTACCACAAGGGCAAAGCCTCACGTGCGGCTGAATTGTATCCTTGTATTCATATATGAGTCATGAATATTATTGCCCAAAAGACATTTATATAACAGGAAATAAGGCGAAGAACGAACGGAGGAGGTGCCACGACGTCCCCGTCAGACGCAAAAAAATATCTTCTGTCGTCGGACATTTGGCTGATCGTCGTCCATTTCTAATTATAACCAGGTTAGCCTTTCTTTCTTTCTTTCTTTCTTCCTGTCTTTTAATCTACAAGGAGACATTGCTCATGGCTGTAAGTGTTAGACAGAAAACGTCCATGTTGTTCTTGCTGTTTTTTCTGGCCTTGGTAGTTGCGGAAATTGCCTCTGCAAGCTTCTGCTTTCCTCTCTGCACGAGTGCGAGCTGGTCTGAATGCTTGCACGACTCCATGCCTGAAGCACTTCGGTACCAGTCAGATAAATGTATCTTGTGCAACCGCCAGGAACGACAGAGCAGTGTTGGTGCTGTCAGTAATACTAAAAGTACTCTCAGACATACTGCGCCCTGTTGGCAAGGCATGGAAAAAGCACTGGGCATCAGGGGCCGTCCGTTCGGCGTTCTATCAGAAAAGAAACTGACGCCCAACAGGTCCTCAGTAGAAACGTTGGTCCTGATCGAGAATGAAATCACAGATGTGGAGGAAAACGCTTTGGTTGGGTTTTCGAATCTGAAATATCTGAGCCTAGATTTCAACCGGCTAACGCACGTGAGACAGAGCTGGTTCAACGGCTTGGAGAAGCTTGGTTTTCTCACTTTATCCAATAACAGAATAGCACAGATTGAGCATGGGTGCTTTCGCAACATGCCTCGGCTTCTCTTGTTGAGTCTTGAAAACAATTTGTTGCCTGTTTTAGACCCCGACTGGTTCTTTGGGCAGAGTAAGTTGTTTTACCTGTACTTGGGGGGAAATAACATCAAGACCATTCCTCCAAGTACATTCAAGAATGTGCGTCCATATGAGATATATCTTCAGGATAGTGCTCTGTCCTGTCTCGACCAAAGGGTCCTGTGGGGACTGGAGTTTATGTCAATCTTCTATGTGAGTGGTTCCAGCTTGGCAACAGTGCAGGTTGAAATGTCCCACAAATTGGGATGGGCTGTTTCAATTCATGCGCATGGATTCCTACAGCACATGCAAATCATATCTGTTGAGGTGCCTTACTTCTATTTCTGTGTCGGGCACTACCCAGGAATAAATAAAAAGTCATTCTCATGGCGGTTTGACTCGATAGATGCTGTACCTCGTCACAAATCAAAACACTTTACTGTGTTATGTACCGAGGTTGCTTACGATCCCCCGGCCCCAGACCTTTCGCGTTTCGTTGCAATCGCTACCAATGACCTCCCAGACAAAAGAGACCCAAGCTACCAAAAGTACAGAGAAAAGTGCCGACAGGTGTGGGAACATAACCTGGGCGTCACAGTGGCTCTGAGAGGTAACTCCACATTACAGCTGGTGTCCATGGGTGTAGGGAATACGACCAGGGCAGATTTGGCCATACTAGTAGACGACACGCCGGACACGGTGTTAGCCAGCAGTGTAGAGTCAGCCACTGTATCAAACGAAAGAAAGAACAGAACCAATGCAGGCACTAACCACACAGATAAGTTAGATCTATCTTGTATTCTCCTCTCGAAACACAATTCGGTCCCGTTGTACTTAGACATTCGCTCCGTCCCAAAGAGGATCCACAAAGAATGCCCTATACAGCATGATCGCGACACAGACCCAACAAGCTTCCCTACACCCAAGCTCGACATGACCAGTAGATCCCAAACAACGGAAAATTACACATCTACAGACCAGACAGCAACGATACTACCATCCACATTGCTGCCACGCACTCTCCAAACCACACTTCATAAATCTAAACCAGCATCAAAGCTCCCCCTCATCCCGATTGTCTCAAGTGTGTGCGTTTTGGTCTTGTTACTTGCGATCTTGTTGTTTCTGCTGAAGAAGTGTCTGCCAAATATAAGAGAGAACAGCTCTCTCTGTCCCATTCAGTGCATTTACTGGGGGAACCCAGATGATGTAAATGCTGCTCATGATGGCCCTCCCGCACTCCAACAGGCCCACGAGATCTCAGATGATGTGCTCAATGCTCTTGATCACACCTACACAGAGATTCCAGATCATCTAGCTGTAGCTCAGCGGCCTTTGCCGGAAACCCCACACACTTACACAGAGATCCCTGATCACCTAGCTGTAGTTCAGCAGCCTTTGCCGGCAATCCCACACACTTACACAGAGATTCCAGATCACAATACTGAAGCTGACGATGAGCCCATACACTTTTACAGTGCTGCTGCAGAGCCGTCCCTTCCAACAGTCACAAAATTCGGACAGGTCACAAACTTGATCGGACAGGTCCAGCAGTCCACAGCTGGTACCCTTCTTACATACAGAGCCCCCATACTTGAAGTCAAGGTAGATTGTGCAAGAACATACGGAAATCACCAGGCCTGTTGGCAATGTGTGATCGTACGTGAGGGGGTGCGACGTTTAACACGTCGAAGATCTTTGCCCATCTATTCCATCACAGATACGCCAGGGGAGATCCTAGCGAGGGAACCACAAAATACAATAGGCCATGAGTGTTTGGATCCAACATTATTACCCAACACGTATTGGCCATGGCAAATTTCTGGGACAGGGACCCAAAACACAGAAATGCGAAGATCCCTCCCCATTCTCACCAATACCTACTGGCCCTGGGAGATCCCAGGGGAGGGAACCCAAAGTATAATACACCAAAACTGTTTGGATCCAATATTACCTAACACTTATTGGCCATGGGATATTTCTGAGACAGGGGCCCGAAATACAACAAGGCGAAGGTCCCTCCCTATTCTCACCAATACATACTGGCCTTGGGAGATCCCAGGGGAGGGAACCCAAAGTATAATACACCAAGAGTGTTTGGACCCAATATTACCAAACACCTATTGGCCTTGGGAAATTTCTGGGACAGAGGTCCGAAATACTGCAAGACGAGGGTCCCTCCCCGTTCTCACTAACACCTACTGGCCTTGGGAGATCCCAGGGGACGGAGCCCAAAGTACAATAAGCCAAGAGTGTTTTGACCCAATATTACCAAACACCCATTGGCCTTGGGAAATTTCTGGGACAGGGACCCAAAACACAACCAATCCTCCCTAGCACCTAAAAGAATGGGCAAAGGGAAAAACTTTCAAATTCAAATCGACCAAAACTTGAAACATTTGCTTTCTGTCGGACTGTTGTATAAATTAAACACCTTCTCATTATCTCTTTTTTTTGGTAGGAATCATAACATAACTTATGCTAATGAGAAGCTTATTTGCATAATTAATGCTCGTGACATATTTGGGTTGATAACATTAGATGTAATGAAATTATAACATAGTTTCCAAAGTTAATTTGAAATTTTTTGTTAGCAAAGGCATGCATTTGTTCAAAATAGTGCAAGTTGCAAAATTTGCATAATTTAGAATCAAGTCACCACCGACCCGTCGTGATTTCATTAAAGTAATAGCAATCTGGTGAAACAACATATGTTTAATAAAACTTTCAGCTTTCTCTCTCAATACCAAACACTTGAATTCAAATGCCTGAGTTGTATCACTCATCAGAATCTGCATGCTACAGGAAGGGTCATTGTTCTTTTCGAAAAGTACAATGTTACCAGCACAAACAAACGTCTGTCTTCTCTGCTACGACCCGTGAAAGTAAGAGTAGCTCAGCTGTAATTTCAAATTCCAAACTAACTGCAAACTGAATTATGCAAATCATAAAAGATTTGCTTCAAGCATTTGTAAGTTGTGTAACACAAGTAGCCATAGATGAAAATACCGGTAGAATGTGGTTGGGGAATGTTTGAGTTGTGTATGTTTAATTGTTATCGCATATTTTGTGTCATTTCCACCAAAAGGAATGTAGGCTGGATGAAATCATAATATTGTAGTTCAGAATCTGTAATTTGTTAAGATTTGTCATACTATACTTTTACATAGTTCCTTGTACTGTTTCATTTGAGAATTATTTCGTTAAGTTTATATGAGTGCTTAGCAAAAGCTTTTTAGGCTTCTTTTCTCCCCTTCTTCATATATTTCATTACTTCACTGTTCATGTAATGTTTATGTAAATAAGTTACAACTAGAAATTTTGCAAACTGGACACAATATACTGTAATGGTGCTGCTCCTGAATACTGTTACTGACAAGAAGAGGGATGAGGCTAAAACATCACATCTGCATAACCAGTAAATTATCTAAAGGCATAACACACCAGCTCTGTGCTTTGCTGGGTGACATAACTGACTGACTGCTCACAGTAGTTACATCCCTACTCCTACTGATATGTGTGGTGGGTTCTTTAACATGGAGGTTTAATGTGTTCGAGGTGTGAATGTCCTCAAACTGGGGACCAGCGACTTCACATCCCATGCAAAGAACTGCAACAACAAATGTACCAGCTACAGAAGCATGTGCAAATCCCGGAAAAGGCAATCCTGTGAACTGGCCACGGAGCTAGCTGCTAATCACTAAACCACAGAATCCCTGTTACAAACCCTGGAGTGGCTGTTAAACATCAGGAAGCACCAACCAACACCACTGCCATCAAAAATTAGACAATGCACTGAATTGTACATCATCTACTAGTATTCAGCTCAAGTTCTGCTGACATCTGTACCAGTGCCTGCCAGACTTAAATATGTACATTCAGATGTACTGTACAAAAAAATAGATGTACTGTACAAAAAATAAACTTGCTATATGCCAACAAAACATCATGCTCTCATGCTGGTGACACATGCCCACTGGCCAGTTGGCAACGTTCTAGTGACTACTTAGATCATGTTATCATACATGCAGCTTACAGATATAATGCACAGTTGCAACATATACAAATAAAATGTTTGTACAGGGATAGTAACAACTTTGGTCAAGCTGGTGTGTTATACCAAAGGGAGGTTGTCCTGTTCAGATTTGGATGAGATAATGGAAAAAAATGAGAAAATGACAATGTCACTAAAGACAAATTCTCTTCCCTTTCTTGTAAGTACACTCTGTGTAAAGTATCACTGTTGGTTGTTTCCTGGTTGTATATATCAAAATGAATTATGTATCTAACAATTGTTACCAACAATTTACAAAATGTATTATGATAGATCTGTTGTGTCATGAAGCAAAAGGAAAAGCATGAAGAGGCTTACAGTTTATCTGATTGCATAGCTGTACTGAGAAAATAAATGATTTTAATCATAGTACACAGATAAATGTGCAAGAGGAGTATGGTATGAAACATTGATGCCAGAGCAATAGTTGTGTACAATGATTGATATAATAAAGTTGTTTGTTGTTGTGTGTAAACCATGCAGTGTGTGTCTAATGTTTGTGTAACTGTTCATTGGATTAGGAACCAGAATGATGTACCTCATGAACCTGTTATTATTAGTTTAACCTTAACCACACTGAGGCAGCTGTTTGGCTGCCAATTCTCTATTGGTTATGGGGTTAGGCAGCTGTGATAAGGTTCAAATAGAACACATTTGACAATGAAAATGTACAGAAAGATTAGCTTTATTATCAGCATTTGATTAGGATAGCCATTATGCTTAGGATGACCAGTATGGAGAAAGAGATATGAAACAGAACCCCTTCAAAACATTTGAGAAGATTTCAAATTCACATGATTTTGTTATTTGAGAAACGACTACAAAGTTATATGTAGTGCATGTCTAGTCAAGAGACTAGTTGTATCTCTAATTGTGCTAATTATGCAACTGAAATGCATATTGTCACATATGTTGCACCTGTATGATTATACATAGTAGTCAATAAATTGCTGTTTAAAAAACAAAAAGCAAAATAAGAAGTGGAAATGTGCCATTCGTGCTAGACAGTGATGGGTTCATGATGCTCATTTGTTCTCTTGCTGACATAGATCTTCTGGTTGGAAATGGTGACCATGTACATGTGCTCATGGTAGATCACTGGAAGGCAAAAGAGAGATCATTATTGATAATCAAAGTGACAGCTAATACGTCTCATTAAAGTAAAATCATAAGGTTATAATTCTATGCAAGTCTCTCATTTTTAACCTCACTTCTGAAGCATAATGTTACATACATATCTTCTGCATGCCTGTAATGGCTTAGTGGAAGCTCAGAAGTCTCAAATGTTCATTCTTTCTAAAAAGCACACTGTATCTGATTATGATTACACAATACAATTTTTATCATCAACTATCAAGTAGCTTTAAACAACATTTGAAATCAGATATGCAGGACCAATGGTGTGACAAATGTTTCAACCTACCAAGACCAGACATCACCTTGCACTTGCTAATAAAGAAGGCATTCAAGTGTCTGCCAATAGATTCCTTCTTGACTGTCACTGATATCCCAAAAAGACAGAAAAGGTCCCTGACCTGATAATCGTTTGAAGGGTTCCTGTTTGTCTGTGCCGGTCTGTAGTCTGAGCGCCACGTCCACCATCTTCATAATCACTCCTGCCGCTGCCTCGTCATTCTCTAACTCTCCTGAAGACTGGAACATTACAGAGAATAACAAACCTACACTCTGCCTCCTCATTCTTCAACTCTAACATTCTCCAAGTTCTAACCCAACAACTAGTAGTAGTACAAAATTAGGTACATACATTAGGTAAGTTTAGTCTGAACTTTTAAGGGTTCTTGTTAGGTAAGATTGGATTAGCAACATGATTAGCAAAATAAATTGGACTTTCATAATTTTCTAAAGGTATTCACCCTATCTGTATTCCACACAAATTTTGTTTAAGAAAAAAATCCAGGTAGTTTCTTAATCTTACTAAGGCATTACATTGAAAACATAGGCATTTAAGGCATTAACATTTTATATAGGCAAATTTTGTATTTAAGATCTGGGCATGTACAAGTAGAAGATATCAATTTTAAAACTTGACATGAAATCTAGTGAGATGTAAGACAAGTACTCACAGCCATGACAGCTCCATCCTCGTTCATGACCAGATATCCCACCTGGTCTGGCACCCGGTCCAGACTGGCTGTCACCGGACTGGTCGTCTGGCAACGACAAAACCTGAGTATCAGTAACTCTTCAATATTCTTCAGCTCTAAAGTAAGATGCTAAGACTGTGAACTACAGTATCATAGTATGTACTAGTGACACTTAATTTCTGGGTGCGGGCCTTGACTACACAGGCTAGCTCCTCGGCTCCAGGACCAACATGCCATCAAGTAAATGTTACCATAGACAACCCTCTGGCTCAGTTACATGTAGACACTGTTGCTGATAATTTCAAAATATTACTAGTAACGTTACATTATGTTAATTTGCAATTGGTCATGGCTCAAAGAATTACGTTTACCATTACCTTATACAGTCTGTGAAAAAAGGAAATGGGGACCTGAAATAGTCGTATACACAAATACACATTATTGAGCAACTATTAGTTTACGTTATACAAGTTAGTTCATATGTTGTTGTTGGATGTACTACTTGCCCCCCTCCCACAAACATATTTTTCTCAGCTTTCCAGCAAGGAACACTTAAGTTTACAAACTTAAACTTGAAGTTTCCAACATCATTCTACGTTCTAATAAGCCTACACTTCTTTCTTACCATCTTAAGCAGGCTTGTCCGATCTGTAAAGTAAGAAATAACCCACGAAACTCGCACCACGCATGCACACACCAGATCTCACTAGTCACAAGTGGCGTGACCTCGAGGTCAATCACAAGATCCGTCCGTCACAACCAAATCTCGCCAATCGCGAGACTTCATTTCGACTACGTTTTCAAACGATTCTGTACATTTCTATCAGACAAAATTAGCCTAGATATGTCTAGAAGATATAATAATGGACTTAGTTGTAGTTTGATCAGCAGTTAGGCCGTGATTTTGGAGAAAAATGCTTGGAAATTTTTCACAATCTTGCGAGATTTCATTCCACGCATGCTCATTACGGCCAACCAAGATGGCGGCGGTGCGATGAGAAAAATAGAATCGGAAGGAAGCGGCAGCCCGATCACAGTTTTCTCACTAATTCTCAGCGGTTTGGCGAGTTTTCCGGACTCCTTTGAAAGGATATCGCAGGAGGATGGCTACGAGAGACGCTAGATACCGTGTCACGCACCCAGATCACAGCTTACAGCAGGTAAAATTCGCCGTTTTCTGATAAGAAAACTATCTTGGATGAGCCGGAAAATTTTCCCCTTCCCTGACGATGACAAAATCTTACTCGAATTTCCCAATCGATAAGAACATTACGAAGTTAACGGTACGTTTAAGGGTTGTCATGTAAAGATGGACAACGCAGACGAATTCGATTCAATTGCAGTAGGCCGTATAAGCTGTTTTTAATGCTAATTAAATTATTATGGCCTGGTGTCTGCCGGACCAAATTAGTCAAGGCACCACCCCTTAATCTCAAAGCAGATCCCTCTCGGTGGCAAAAAGACAGTATCAAACTGGCAAGACAGTATCCATTAGCCAGAGAAGGTCGCCGGCCACCGGTGGGCACCGGTTGCGACAAAAACAAAAAACGGCCATATTTAAAAAGCTAAGGATCATTCCCCCACAACCTCTGCTTGGAGAGTACCACCCCTTTCCGTGTAGGTATATGTCAGACCGGATAATGCTAGTGTTTACATATCACTATGCTCGGTTATGTCGTTCGGAACTTCACAGTGTTGACACTGCCTGCGGTAGGCAGCCCCTTTGTTGTATCAATTCGTCCTAGATTCCATTGCAAGATGTGTAATACACAAAATTACTTTTATAACTTGGACTTGAAACCAACTACATGTATGTGAAGTCAAACCTGTACAAGTGGCCACCTCTACATAGGAACCACCTTGCCAATGTGATCACTTTTGAGTGGTCCCCTAGAAGATAATATTCCCACCACTAGTAGCCCAAACATTAAGAATCCTGTCTAGCGACCACCTGTCCACAGAGGCCAGATTTTATCAGTCCACTGACATCTTGTGCAGTTCTGACTGTATAACACTGGTCTTGGATGTATGGGTATTTTTATGGGTATCATTAACTCAAATTAAAGCATTGTCTTTAAATAAGACACAACACCATGCTTTTGTAAGATGCATAATGTCAGATTTGCAAACAATAACTGCTAGTGAAACAGGTGGTTGCTTTAGTTAGATGGTACCTTTTCTTTTCTTTTTGTGCAACCAATTGGTGCAACAAACATATATTATCAAAATGCAGTGAGGTAATGGTTAATGACCATGTAAAAGAACTACCAGTACAAGCTCTACAAGTAACATTATACATTATAATATAATTCTTTGTAGCAAATAAGTTTATCCTTTTCAGTAAGTGTTGTTCTATTTTTAAATGGCCTTCATGACTTTCATGATCAAAGTCCACACGGGTCATAGTCCCAAGCAAATAGTGCAAATGGTTATTTGCACTTGATTTTGAAGGTCAACATCATTGTATACACTTCATTGATTGATTTATTGATTGATTGATTGATTGATTTCCAGAGGAGACTGAGACACTTGCGGAGTGTATCAGCCAGGAACATCGTAGCTCCCCCCCACCCTGACCAGGAGCGGAGAGGATGTTTGTTAGACACATACTTCACCCTGTGTACTACCTGTGACCAGGGACCCAACAGTAGAGGTAATGTACAACATACAAGTACAACAATCAATAGTTCGGGCTTATAAACCTGCAATTCTCCTGTGGTCTCTTAGTGTCACTGATGAAAGGTAGTGGATGCTACCTGAAACGTCTGACCGTTTCCAAAATCATATCCAGTGGCATGTAACTGTTTTTTGGCGTATACCCGGATGTCTAACCTTCACCGACGAATGAACAACATACTATAGTTAGTCTACTAGCAGATTTTGGCCATTGTTACAACTACTTGGTTGCTTTATATACTTTTTCTTTGTACAATGTAATTTGCAATGAATATTTATTATGTATGTGTTTTGTAACATGCTGAAAGTGGGTCAAGGGTTATTTGGCAGAGATTCATTGCATAACTGACAGCCTGTTTAGTGACACAGTCCCAGTTCTGATCATATTTGAACAATTGTAAAGAAAAAGAAAAGCACCTGTCTTTGTAAGCTTACATTCTTTTGAGACATCTGTGATGACAAGGTCCAACTTGTTTGTTTTGCAGAATTTTATAGAAGTGAAGTTATCAGAAAATCTTTGGTAAGTGGAAACTTTATTCACTCATGTTTGCATTTGATTGCAATTCACAAGATACATTACAATCTTCATCATTTTTTTTTCAGAATAGTACATGATTGTGCTAATAAAATTGTGTATTTTCTACTTCAGAATCCCATCTGGAAAAGTTTTGAGCTGAGAAGTCTACAAGATGGAATTGATACATCCATTACTTGTATCCTTGACATTGTTACATTTTGAGTATCATCACAAAGAAGGTAATGTTTAAGTACAAGTTTACTGGTCAGACAACACCTCAGAGGTTAGACACCCTGCTTGCTTGCTACTGTTAAGGATATTTTATGGCCTCAGTTATGTATTTTTGGAGAAATGTATGTTGGGTATCAAAATGTTTTGGGAAATAGGCTGTGCCCTAGTTTGTGACCGAAAGTTTGTAATCCTTGACATACGATTCCTCCAGCCTTTATAGTGCAGATCTGGGGAGGTACAGAGGAGAAGTACAGTCTGCTGATTGAGTGGAAAGTTAACCTCGGTGGTCTCAGGTACATTGGACCAAGGGTAAGTACATTTCTTACTGTATTCACCATTATGAATTACACCACTGTCAAATGCTGTGTAGTTTTATTAGTTTTCTCTGAAAAGGAGGATGTTTTTACCAGCTTTTGTTGGTTTTTGAACAATTCAACACTCACTCGCTCACTCACTATTCGGTTTATTGTCTGTTGTTTCCCGTCATCCAAGGGTTAGACGTGCTTGCACACTGATGCTGAGGCAATGATAATAATCAAAGAATAATAATTTAATTAAATCTATCATGTTTCACTTCAGGATATCTTGCAGAAATGTTTGTCTTTGTGTCCACAGGTGACCCAGGATGGACATGGCCAGTCTCCCAACACCATCATCTTTGGCATGTTTGAGGGTTACTACACAGCACCAGACCACAACATGGTAAAAATCTTAAATTTTGATTCATCTTATATTTTGCACAGTGATAGTACTACATGTACTTGACACAGGACCCCTCAAATTATCTTTCTTCCTGCTCAAAAGAATGTTAAGCATCAGCATATGTACTAACCTTAAGCACCGTCTAAATTGAGAGTTCGACTCCCGTCTGTTGTTACTCACCTGACAGCCACACTACTGTAAAGGGTTGCAGTCCTTATGAAGGGACATTGTTCATTGTGCTTGTCGAAAAGAGCTAGGGAAATTTCCCTGGTACAATGAACCTGTAGATACTGTGCACATACCGGTAGCGACTGTCTTCTTAGCTCATGAGTATTAGCTAAAACTGGATTGAGATCCCCTTCCCTCCCACAGGAGAGAAGCCAAGAGAACCAGGCAAACGCGTCCCGTCAGCGCGCCCTGCAGCAGGACCTCCTGTCCCCCCGCCAGTCCTACAACGGCTTCTCCCTGCTGAGGGTCCACACCACCCAGCGCGCCATCAAACAGACACAGATGGCCGTCAGTAGGATACAGGAGGCCATAGACCACAGGATGGAGCAACAGAGGGTCAAGGCTAGACTGGTTAGTACTGTACTGTAGTCTTAGACCCTTACTTCACAGTATAGGTACATATAGCTACACATAGGGTCCACACCACCCAGCGCGCCATCAAACAGACACAGATGGCCGTCAGTAGGATACAGGAGGCCATAGACCACAGGATGGAGCAACAGAGGGTCAAGGCTAGACTGGTCAGTTTGTGAAAGCTGTTAAGATGTAGACTCTTAGTCTTACTTCGTGCATGTCCTGGTGTGTTACGCCGAAAGGTGGTTATACCGGCTATACAGATACAGATGTCCTACACAAAATACTGTTACACTGTGCTGTACTTGTACATTTTTATTTAGTAGTAGTAGTAGTAATACACTTTTGTCATTCTTCATGGCATTTTTATTTACACTTTTGTCATTATGATTGGTGCCCTACACAGAGTAGTCATACTGACTCTTGTTTCATGTGTATATCTATTGACTTACTGCTTTCTTGATGTTTTAATTCAAATGCTGTGCAAATTTTCCACTTTATGTAAAATTTGTTTCTTCAAGTCGCTCTCCATGTATCTTGCAGTATACATTTCTTTGCAATGTCATGTAGATTTAATTGGACTATATCACGAGCCTGGGTGACATCCTATTCAGTTAGTTTACCAGCACTCCCATACTTGCTTCTACAAAAGCTACTTTAGGCTACTACCAGTATATTTCATTCCTGTATGATTTCATTTCTTTCTTTTCTTTACAACATCCTGATTTCTACCTTGTCTGAACTGTGTTGGGCTTGGCTCTCAGGATCCAGAAGTGGTAGGTTGCTGTAGTTCTCTGCTTTTCTTTTCTTTGCTTTGCTTTCCCCTGGCTTATGGTATCATAGTTTCTTTTTCTATGAAGTTTCTACACCCTATTTTTGACATGTATGTTTTATCTGAATGTCATTCTCCCCTTGCTCCATATGAACCATGGTCTTTAAGAAGTCTCCAAACAGTGCATGTAATTTATTTTTGGGAATAGGTTCACTGGTGCATCATACTTAAAAATTTAGGTACACACAAAAAAAAAACATATTGTGTGTCCACAACAGATGATAAATTGAATGTACAATGCAACAATTCATTGCAAAACATTTCCTTGAACTCAATTCCGTGTTGCACTGGTTGCCAAAAATGGAGTCCTTCCTGTATGAATTCTAGTACATGTATTGTCTTTAGGATGATAATGTGTTGAAAGCAAAAGGAAAGCATGACTAACCAAAGACACAAACGTTACAACCTGCAGGTGTCTGAGCGTGAGACCCTGCTGTGTGCTTTCTTTAATCATTGTCACATACATGTATGAACATAGTATTACATGTATTAGTCTACACCAGACTCCTTTGCAGGCCAAATAAATAGTAGAAATTGGCCTGAAAAAGAAAGTAACTGGCCAATGGAGTTAGCCAATTGAACCCTCTATGGCCAGCCAACTCCGCTGGCAGTTACATTCTTTTTTAGTTTTAGGCCAATTTCTACTATTTATTCAGCCTGCAAGGGTGTCTGATGGAGACTTGTCTTAGGACAACAGTGCTGTAACATAGAATGAAACTTTTTTTTGAAAGCATGACTAACCAAAGACACAAACGTCCCACCTGCAGGTATCAGAACGTGAGACCCTGCGGCTGCGTGTGGCCCTGCTGCATGAGGAGCTGCGGAAACAGACAACAAGTCTGCAGATGGAACAGGAGACATGCAAGAACGAGAAAAGGAGACTCCAACAGAGAGGTGAGAAACAAAATGCAGAAAACTTAAATTAAGATGTCAGTAAACATTGTTTTTTTTTTTTATGTACAAAATGTACAAGATCATTTGACTACATTCTACTATCTTCATATATTATGTATGTGCTATGCATGTAATATGTTGTCACGTTATCAGCTACATGTACTAGTAAATAGCTCCCTAGTGCCTGCACTGTATTGTCTCACTGAAATCTCAATTAAGTCAAGTCATATGTTTACAGGACACAACATTTTCCATTTTTAACCATCCTCTTCCCTTCCAAGCACCTCTATGATGTCTCAAAAAACCCACAGTACTTTTATTATGTAACCCTAATGCCACTTGTGTTTTTTCCTACAGAGTCAGAGCTGGAGATGAAGAGAGAAGGCCTGGCTCAGGCCAAGTCAGACCTGGGGGAGAGGAGGAAGGGACACATAGAGAAGAGGTGAGAAAGGAAACTACAATAGCTGACGAGCTGATCATTGAAAAATTGAAATAAAAACCTGGACACAAAAAGCATAACAATACAAAATACACAATCAACCCTTTTTCATTTTGTGCCATACATGTATGTGTGTTCTTCTACCACATTATCTATATGTATCTGTTATATGTAATGTTTTATTTTTGTATGAACCCTGTAAGAGTAAGACTAGCTAGTTTGGCAAAAGGGTATCAAAATAAAGACAAAATGATGACAAAATACTAGTTTTCTTGTCTTCTCCTATATTTCATTTTTCAGGCCCTAACTGTGGAGTAAATTACCAGATTGCTGTCAATGGGATATGGAATCAAAAGACATGAATGGTTTTTGATGTTTTGTTTTTATAGGGAGACACTGGTGAAGTCTAAAGCACAGTTGGCAGTGAGAAGACGTCAGCTGATTGCCGAGCTGGCAGAAATCTACCCCATAGCACAGGTCAGTGGAAGGGTTACACCTTAGTTTGCAGATTAAATATGACAACATGGCTTCCCATTTATGTCAGAATTTACTTTTTATTAAAGGAATGTAGCTTGTCCATTTCCAGACATACATATAGCTCCATACACACCCCAAAAGGTGTACATGTAAATGTGAAATAGAAATGCCATTAGCTTTCAGTGTCTGTGAGAGTGTTAACTTGTTCTTGTTCCATCCCTCTGACAGCTCCCAAATGGTAGGCACACTATCTGTGGGGTTTGGCTGCCAAATGCAGAGGAGTTACAAGGTAGGAGAGTTTCTTCTTTACTTGGTAGAAACTATTCTGACGCTAGGTTGAACTATAATTTCCAACACAAAGTTGGACTGACCCAAATTTTCAACTTTATAACTCCTGTCAAAGAACGAGCAATTCACCACTTCTGTTATCTATGGTATTTCCTTTCCTTCTGTAGCTAAGTAAAGATGACAACATGTTAGAAGCAGGGTTGGATTATGTGAACACCTACTAATCATGATCCAGTTTTTCCAGCGATATGTATACAGTACCTCGTCATCTGCTTAGTCTTACCATTAAACCTAATATGATATTTCCTTTCTGTAGGTAAAGATGACAATATGGTAGAAGCCAGCCTGGGCTATACTACCCAGGGCACCTACTATTCATGATTGCCCAGTTTCTCCAGCTGCCCCTGCAGTACCCCATCATATGCTTACATATGCCCCCTACACCCCACCCCATCATATACATCTGTATAGTCTTACCATTAAACCTAATACATTTACGATTCTTCCTGTCCCTCTGTAGGTAAAGATGATAACATGGTAGAAGCTGGGCTGGGCTATGCTGCACACCTACTGATGATGATTGCCCAGTTCCTCCAGCTGCCCTTACAGTACCCTATCATCTACAGGGGCTCCAAGTCCAAAATCAGGGACCCCATCACCGCTAAACTGGCCGACAGGGACAGAGAGTAAGCATCATTGTGTTAAGTACACAAAAAACACAATCAACTAGCTGTAGGTAGATTTTGAAAACTGTCAGACGTTTCAAGTAGCATCCACTACCTTTCATCACTTAGTGGATGCTGCTTTCTTGAGTAACAGTTTTCTTGTGTACTGTACCTTGATGTCTTAAGCTTCATCGATGTACAAGATTGTGTACTCTATTTTTTACTTCATATTGGAGCTAGTAAGAAATTGTTCCCTAGCATTTCTCAAATGTGCTACATTTTATGAACACAAGTATAAGATAGTCAAACCTTTGTCTACTAGGTTCCCCCTGTATTCCAAGGGCAAAGAAAGGTTCCAGTTCAGCTATGCTGTGTTTCTTCTTAACAAGAACATTGCTCAGGTCAGTTAACAGTCTCATGTATTTCTTTTATTTTTTTTACCTCCATGAAAAATGTAGGTATTGCTTTTGGTTTGTGTGTGTGTGTGTGTGTGTGTCTGTGTCTGACATTTCATAGACAAACAGGGACTTCAGTCATTTCACACTCAAAGTTCACAGTGTTTCTAAAGTTTACAGTGTTTCTAAAGTTTACAGTGTTTCTAAAGTTTACAGTGTTTCTAAAGTTTGCAATCCTGTTTCCAGTTGAGGTACTACTGCGGCCTGGGCACCAGTGACCTGAGACTGACCCTATAATTACCTTATAACATGTGAACAGTGTTACTAAAGTTTACAGCTTTTCTAAAGTTTACAGTGTTTCCAAAGTTTATAATCCTGTTTCCAGTTGAGGTACTACTGTGGTCTGGGCACCAGTGACCTGAGGTTGGCCCTATAACTACCTAACCTGTGAACAGTAGTGTAACTAAAGTTTACAGTGTTTCTAAAGTTTACGATCCTGTTTCCAGTTGAGGTACTACTGTGGTTTGGGCACCAGTGACCTGAGACTGACCCTGCCTAACCTGAAGAGCCTGCTGGAACAGAGGTTAGGGGTCAGGTTGTGAGTACACTTCTCTCTCTTATGCTGTTTTTTTATCTTTCTACAAAAGATCATGAGCAACCTTTAATGCTTATAGAAAATATTCTGGCTCTCTTTGCCAATGAACTTCGTGATGAGTAAAATCCATCATTTTCACTATACCTGGTACAACAGAAGCAGTAAGTAGTGGTACAACATCAATCTTGTGGTTGTGTGATTGTGTGAAGCTCATACATGTTTACTATATTCTTCTTGCAGTGAGGCATCCCCACCGGGTGCGATACCACAGAGACCCCTCCCTGCCCCCCCACCCCAGGCAGTGGCCCAGCCTGCACCACAACAGAACTCTGTTCCTGTTCCTGTCTCCAACAAGGACGCTACAGATGGACCCATGTCTCTGCCAAACGCAACTTCCAACACCAACGTTACTCCCAAACCCTACCCTGTACAACCTCAAGTGCAATCAGTACTCAGCAATCCAGGCGTTGTCGTAAACTCCAGGGTCAACGCCAACGGAAGTTTTCCAACAGAAAAGGTTGAACCGATCCCCTCCACCCACCATGCCACCTTTCCTGCCACTTCCAATGGGGCTCTGCCAAAGGAAAAGCTCGAACAATCTGTATCAGAAGCTCCTGTGGTCATAAGAACACAAATGTCACCACAGACTGTACCACAGGCAAGTCAAGAAACGCTGAACACAGGCAGAAGTGACGTAACAGTCTTGCCTCAAAGTGCAATGCAGAACGCCCAGGTGTTGGCCTCACAACTACCTGTAGGAACCGACTCTAAGAAAGAAGAGGTTGGAAACTCAAGTCCAGGTGTGCACAGAGACCTTCTTAACCTCCAAGGACGGACCTCGAGAAAGTCGAGCGTTGGCGACTCTGACGGAAATAATTCTCACGACAATGATTCTGACGTCAACCAGGATTACGTCGAACAGTTCAAACGTATATCACTCACCGAGGACGTCATAGATGCAATGGAAAGCCAAGAAGCCACAGAGGAAAACATTCTAAACGTTGACAAACTGCAAACTAATTCTGACAACGGAGTGCAGCCTTCGACATCCAAGCCATCTAATCTAAGCTCAAACCCTGCCTGCCCATCCGAAGTACGGGTAACTGTCGATCTTAAACCAACTGCGAATGCTCCAAACTCAGATCGTACAGGTTTAGAGCAGTTAGGGCAAGATGTTGAGTTACCGTTGAGTATAGAAGATGCAATAAGGAACTCTCAGATGGGGACCCTTTCCGATGACATCACATCTCGAGCGGCAGCCCTCTCCGCTCAGCCTAAAAGCTTTAAGAAAGTGAGTTCCTCCATGGCAGGGAAGACATAGCAAATCAGACATGTGTCTGAAAACAAAACTCTTTATGAATCCTGTGCTTCCTTGTATAAAGTACATGTCATTGTATACTAAACATCCTGTATGCATTGCTTGCTCCAAGATACAGCAATTAAGTTCCTTAAGTTTGGTTTGCCTACATTTCAAAGTACATGTGTACATGTACATCAAAACTTTACAAAACTTGATGAGCAATCATTTTTTTTTTAGGATCAGCTTACAACAGCAATGTTTTCTTTACCCAATTGTGTCTTCAAATCAAAACCAGCTTATTAGGCTTGCAGTGTGGCTTCCTACACATATTTCATATAGGACTTGTCATGCTTGAACTACAAATGTATCCATATCTACTCTAACTACCTTTTGTAGCTCTCAAATCTTGGATAGTCCCTCAGTCTGTAAATAGTTGAATTGTAGTATGAAGGGTTGAACACTTCGAAGAGCCATCAATATAGCAAACTGAAGCATCACTTGTATAGCAAGACCCTGGACATGGAATTCCTCTTGTTGACTGATAATGTGAAAAATTCTATGGAGCTTAGATTGGCCCATGTTGATACCAGACAGCAAAGTCACTTGTTGAAGTACTTTATTTCATGTGATTCATGAATAACTAGAAAGGTAACATTTGCATAGCAAATGCATAATGTTTATCTTTGCATATGGTCTGCTCTGTTAATTCTCACTCAAACACATTCATATATATGGTGACAGGAGTCTAAATCCCTCCTGCTATAAAATTGCAACATGGTGTAACCCAACACTAGTTTCCATGGTGACAGACGTCTGTTTGGAGGAGAAGAGGAAGAAGAAACAGAGCAAAACAATATGTTTTCCTTCTGTGAGGGTAAACATAATAATCTTATTCTTCTGGTGAAATAAGAAGAGCAATGGCCCTCTAAGTATGTCCAAGAGTTTTGAGTCTGCTACTGTTACATAATGTCAACCCTTTTCAACCAATTCTTTTTGGTTTGCCAGATTGCAAGTTTTCATTTTCTCAGGAGTCTCAAAAATTTGCTCTGAAAATTTTAGATTGCAGGTAGATATTTCCTAGCCTGGGTGCCATCCCCAGTAGTATTCGCCCGCTAGCTAGCTTACAGCTGGTAGCTAGAGTGGGCGAATGCTACTGGGGATGGCACCCAGGCTAGATATTTCCACTACTGAATCTAGAACTGAGCAAGAACTGCAGACATGTATGTTTCTATGCTGTTCATCAATTACATATTATCACTTTCTTTCATAAACATGATACTCCCATTTAGTTTTACTTAGCCAGTACTCATCAAAAAGAGATCAAGGCATTTAGAAGAAATGAAGCAAAGTAATGTTCAAAGAGAAAAAAAGTGTACAGAGTTGCAGTCATATCATTTATTGTGGATGCAAAAAGAAGAATATGTAAATACAGCAATGATGTAAACTCTGCCGGATGTGTATATTTTATAAGTAAGTATTTATGCAAGACTTGTTGTGAACTCAGTTCTTGTGGATCAACGGAAAAAAAGTAAAAGTGTGACTGGTGCAAAAGTTACAGAAATGTGTTCTAAAATGTGTATAAAGTTTGCAAGTCAAAGGAAGCACTAATTTAAGAATGATGGTATCATGATGTGAAGTTTACGTTTCTGTAATTTTATGGTGCACAGAAGACCTTGAGTTTATGTATCAAAGAAAGTTCTAAATATTGTAAAGTAAAACGGGAAATCAGTTTTGTTCCAGTGGAAATAAACTATCAGACTGTGACAGTTTCGTTTCTTTGATTTTCAGAACTTTCATGTAAAATAGGCGGTTATCTTTCGCTTTTAGAAGGCTACTACCACCGTACCAATTTTTCAAAGATACTTATACCGATCTACATCAACCTAATCTTTACTAAATTGAGATTCCTCATTCCTAGATTCTAGGTTGATAAAACTACAAACCTTGCCGCGGTGGCTGCTATCTCTTGATTTTAGTTGCTAGCGCTTCCTAGAACATAGCAACGAAAGAAACCGTTTGTCGCTTCACAAGAACACGCCACAAAGAAGTGCAACTTGTTCTAGAACGCGCGCTGTTCTTTTGTGATTGAAGAAACGACGCAGCAACCATTTTGTTGATCTTTTTGCACTGGAACAATGGGGGAACCGACGTGAGCCAGTGCATTTTGATCATCGAGCGCCAAGACCGCTGACTTAAAGACAAATTAGCATTGGAAGAGACATTAGAATATCCCCCGGACACTTAAGAAAAGACGCAGGTACTTTGAGACAAAGTAGCATTGGAGAAGACACTGGGATCCTCGAAAGACTTAGGAAAAGACGCAGGTATTTCTTGAGAAGATGCCCAACACCACCAGACCGGCGTCTCGTCTGTCCATTAAAGAGACAGAAGAGGAGGAGCTCGGCAGACGGGGGTACCACCTGGAGCTGCACATCGGGGAGGGCTCGTACGCTAAGGTCAAGTCAGCAAGTTCCGAGAGGCTACACTGCAAGGTGAGCTACAATTTAAAACGTAGGGAAGGAGTTAACACAGTTATCTTTATTCCCGAAAATAGTTTCATCAGGTTGGTAAAGTATAGCCTATACGGGTTTACTTATACACAACCAAATATTCGGTTGCTGACGTTTCTATGTCTCTCAGACACCTTCCTCATAGCTTCTGACTGGAGTTCTGCTTCTCGCCGCTATATGTAGCCTTATTATTTACCTTCGCGACGACATACGAACGGTCTTGCTTCTGAATCGAAAGTTAAAGATTGAATCCGGCTGTTGCCGCTTTCCTGATTTGTATGCCACTGAAAACGGTTATAAAGGCTCTTAGACGTTGCCGTAAGCGCCATTTATCCGTTCCCGTCAATAATGATATAAAATCGCCTTCTCTTCAAGCAGAGGTTTCGGGGTTTAATATTAGTAGCATTATTCTTTGCCATCTCTGAGTCTGTTTCTATCTTGAGGGAAACCACTGAAATTAAAAAGGTTTGCCACTCCTACTCCTTACACATCCAAATCGCCAGCGTTCCTTGAAACCATCTCAGACTGAAGAAATTGTCGTTTACTTGAGTCCAGGTGGCCATCAAGATAATCCACAAGTCCCTGGCTCCTCAGGACTTCCGAGAGAAGTTTCTCCCACGCGAGCTGAGCGTCCTGACGAAGGTGGACCATCCTCATGTCATCAAGGTGCACGAGATCATGGAGATGGGGCCCAGGGTGAGTAGTACACAAACAAACAAACAAACAAATACACGAGATCATGGAGATGGGGCCCAGGGTGAGTAATACACAAAAAAAAAAAAAAAAAAAACGCACGAGATCATGGAGATGGGGCCCAGGGTGAGTAATCGGTTATGCTTACATGTAGGTCACATATTCAAACCGGTTCCCAAGAGCTGCCCGGCCGGGCCCCGTGTGGGAATATTGACCTCAGCATAACTAGGGTTCACACAAACAAACAAAACGAACAAACAAAACAAATAGAATATAATAGCAATGCTAGAGGACAAGACTTCCACCAGGGTAGCGTCAGTAGCCCCAAACCCCAAAGGATTGTATACGTTAGACATTTTTGAACGGTACTTCCAGATGAAAATGTTCCAAAGTTTATCTACGTAAGTCCTCAAAATCGAGGCAATCAATTTAGTAGTCCTTTTAGAACGAAATAACCTCTTCACAAGTCATCAAACAAGCCAACAAGTTGGTTCAAAGCTGATAGAAATATACTGTCCTTTACAGATATAAAGGTTGAGTTGTTTCATTGTATGCTTCAGGATCTCCTGTTTTCCCCTGCCCAGGTTTATATCGTGATGGACTACGCCGGACACGGAGACCTGTTAGAGTACATACAGCTGCACGGAGCACTGCCGGAGAGCAAGGTTAGTACATACACATGCATGTAGCTTGCAAAGTATTCCTGGTAAAATAAATAAAAGAAAGGAAAATCAAAGTTTGAAACCTCCATTCTCATGGGAAACTGAGAGTCACATAAGACTCAACATGCACCCGACCGCATAAATACTAGTACGTCAGTGGTAATTTTGTTTTTGCTAACTAACAAAGAGGATATTTTGTCATCTCTAACCCCTTCGCTTCTTATCAAACAAACAAACAAACAAACAAACAAACTAACTAACTAACAAACAAGCTTTAAACAACTCCTGCAATTAAATGTGCAAATAAAGACTGAGTGTATTATAGCCAGCTGCAGCCGCGCCGCGTGTCTGCGAAGGGCGGTTATACCTGCTATACCGATACCGATACAAACAAACAAACAGAAAAACACACGTTATTCCTGCAGGTCCGAGTGATGTTCCGGCAGCTGCTGACGGGAGTACAGTACCTCCACTCCCAGGGTATCGTGCACCGCGACCTCAAGTGTGAGAACATCCTTCTCGACTCCAAGAACAACATCAAGGTCATTTGCTTTATTCTTATTAAGCTTTGTATTTATAGGGCTACCTAATTGTTTAAAGAAATCGCGGGGGTTCAGACTTCTAGAAAGTATTTTGCGTTTTCATGATCCTCAAGTTCACAAGTTTTTTTGTGTTTTCGGGAATGTATTGGAACTACTGAGAGGGTCTCATCGCCCGCTTACTCTCACCCAATGCGTGCTGGATCACCTCCAGGCGTGACCTCCCCATCAAGCAACTGTCAAAATCACTTCCCATCCACCATGCAACCATAGCTATCACGACAAAACAGAGACATAAAAACACTACTCAGCCACTAAATGGTCAAAAGAGTTGTGTATGATTATATCTACATGTAATGGTGAAAAAGGTTATGTATAATTATGTATAATGCTGAAAAGGGTTATGTATAAATGTTATACCAACAGATTTCCGACTTCGGCTTCGCACGAGAGTTCAGGCAGGGCGAGCTGAGCAGGACGTTTTGCGGGAGCGCCGCCTATGCAGCCCCGGAGGTACTGCAGGGCATCCCCTACCTGGCCGAGCTTTATGACGTCTGGAGTCTGGGAGTTATTCTCTACATCATGGCGTGTGGATCCATGCCTTTCGACGACTCCAACATCAAGAAAATGATCAAGGTTAGTCTCATACTACTCCAAAACCTTTTAAAAACTAATGGGAAGGTATTTCAGCACCAAGGACAGTGTACAGTGGAGGTATTCAAGCAATACTTACCTTGTCAGGACTTAAATTGCGATTCTTGTACTTTATATACTAGACTAGACATACAGTAGGGGCATTGTCATTAGATAGCTTTAAACAATGTCTAGAGTTAGATGTTAAAGGGTTAGGTGTAACAAGTCATTCGGTGTAATATAGCCAGCTGCCGCCGCGCCGCGTGTCTGCGAAGCTGGTGTGTTATGCCAAAGGACGGTTATACCGGCTAGCTAGATGATTTAAAATATTATATATATCTTTATTTCATAAACATAGCAACTGATAAATATGAAATATTGACATACATTAATAAAGGCATTACAATATCTTGAAATCTTGTACCATATGCATTCACCATGATAAAGTTTAAATGAAGACAAGTAACTATGCATATACACCGCCTGCACCACCTGAATGTTGGTACTCATCATGTGCTCACTATACTACTAGCGAATGATACTAATCATCATGTGCTCCCTTTATTACTAACGATTGATACTAGCGATTGATACAGTACATGTCACCGTCTTAGGTCCAACTTGAGAAGAAGTATGGCTTTCCTAGGTCTAAGAGGGTCAATCAAGACTGTAAGGAGCTGATCAACGAAATCTTAACACCCAGCGTCACCAACCGCCCGACTATCGAGCAGGTGCTGCAACACCATTTCTTCACGCAAGGTGGCGCTTCTTCAAGCTCCGACCAGGTTGCGTCTGGCAATGCCGCACCACAAGTGAGTTAGTTTTGTTGTGCTTCTTTGCGTATAAATACTTAACAATATATCTTCTCTACTGAAGTTTCTACACGCATTTAAAGACAATTAAGCAGCCAGGCGGCCAAAAATGTGATCATGTCCAGGTCCCATCAAGACCTACCCACCTACCAAGTCTCATGTGAAGTCAATTTCCTATGCCTTTGTTGGTCTCAAGAAGATATGGATGGACTAAGAACTCAAGTAACGTAAGCACCGTAGATATTGATGCAGTAATTTTGGAACATTTTACAAAATATTTGAAAAAATGATGAAAACTACAATGCATCCATCATTTGACAGTTCCACATTATTCTGCAAAACAAATTATTATCTAGGGTGCGACTGGAGGATCCCATGACGCTGCTACACAGGGAGGCCCGGCTGCAGGCTGCAGTACCCCAGAGGGGGCTGTAGGGGGCGCCCCAGCACAGGACGCCGCCGTCAGACCGAAGACTAGGAGCCCTAGAGAGCCTCGACACGACGGTACGTCCCAACAGCATGGCAAAAGTAACTTGAACCTCTCACTAACATACACAAATGTACACAAATGAACACACACACACACACACACACACACACACACACACACACACACACAAACACATACAAATTAACACACACGTACACACATACACTGACACATGTGCCAATGCGTTGATGAACTCGCACGCATGCATATTAGAATGGGTACTGTAAGCATGTTTGTGTCTATGTCAGTCAGCGCTGTTGTGAGAACAGCATCCTGAGCATTACTGATTTCCTTAATGATATGTATCTGTTGATGTACTGATCTTAATGCCGTCTCTACAGCCACCCTGGTCCCCAGAGACCATCATCAACCAAACGGTACGTCCATATAGGAAAATAGAAGTAACGCACAGTGCACACACATGCACCATGCACACACACACACACACAAACCCACACATACCGGCACACGCAAAAGCCAACACACACATGCATGTGCTCACACTCACACAAATGGACATACCTGTCCTTGGTGCTGAACACTATCCCCCCCCCTACACACACACACAATGGAGATAGCAGCATTGGATGGGATGCATCCTATCAGTTGTCTTAGTCTGTAGGTCTCTTTCTATGTCATACATCCGACGTAGTTCACATATTACTTCGAAATCTTTAAATCCCTACAAGAAAATGTAATTCAGCACCAAGGACAGGGTATAGGAAAGATACTTACCTTGTCAGGATCTTGTAGTTTACATAAAATGTATAATTTCTTGATGTACCTACCGTTTCTGCAGCCACACTGATGCCCGTGCAGGCCCAGGACCCACAGTTCCGTGCACCGACCCCCATCCCTCCCACCCACGATCACCCTCCTATCGCTAACCAGTATCGCGGGCATTCCAGGGACGACAAGCATCAGAAACCACAACATCCAGAAAAGAGCAAAAAGTAGATCAGCTTAAACTTTTATCAGACTACAATTAAATTTTGTACTGTATAATCGAGAACCATACATCAAATCAAATCAGAGAGGCTTAAACCATAAATCCAGAAAATGCGTCTTCTGGATGTTTTCTTGCAAAGGATCAATGCAATAAAAACTTCTTCGTGGTGTCTGAGACTTGAACTTTTATTGTTTTGTTCTGCACTGACTTTATTTTATGGATATATACTTCTTGGGGTAGACACTCCAAATCTGATGCAATTGCATGGGGGCTTCTCCACTAGTAGTGGAAGTTACAACAAATTTTGACCTACCCTTAATTCCTGGCGTAGGAACGTCAAAGAGGTTTTCAAGAACAAAAAAAAAGATAAAGAAGTTGGCAAATGTTTTATCCTGGCTTGTCTTGCAGCCAGTAAAGTTTACTGTCAGATGAAACATTTGTTTTACATAATTGTCCAGTCAATACAGATGAAACTCCACCTTCAGTTTGCTTGATTTTTTTTACTCTCTGTATTGAATCTTGACTATAAAGTTTACTGATTTGCAGGTTTTATGAAATAAGCAACACAACCATATAAATAGGAGCCTGTTAGTCCCAAACAGATGAATATATACTCCACATTCGTGTACTATAACATGAGATTTAAGTATTACTAACATGTTCTTGTGTAATTAAAGGTTGACAATGTTTGTAAACTCTAAATACCCTGTACAGAACAACTTGGAATTTTAGTTGAAACATCATAAGTGGTTATCAAAAATGTTAAGTTGTAAAATACATAATATGTTAATTTTGCTTTCAATTGCTCAATTCTTACCCTGTTGCCACCGGTTTAGTAAAATATGTTTCATTAAAAAATATGACCCTGATTATTTGCCAGAAATTTCAGTAATCTGGTACAGTCATACTGATCAGGATAGATGCAGACTAAGTACTAACAGATAAAACTAGTTCACGATAGATTTATTCCAACCTACAGTATTAAGATCTTGATAATCCAGTTTAAACCAGGTCAATCTAGTTTGGTCCTGATAGGTCCAGATCCAAATCACTCTATATCATGATGATCTAGTTCAAGCTAGATCTAGATCAAAATACAAATAAGTCTAGATCTTACTCAATGTAGATAGATCTTGATCTAGTTTAAGCTGGATCAATCTAGATCAAAATCTAGATTAAAGCAATGTAAATGGATCATGATGATATAGTTTGAGTTGGATTAATCCAGAGCATAATGACAGTAGATAGATTATAAAGTACTTAGATCCCACCAAACTAGACTCATCCTGACCAAGCTGGATTGATAAAGATCTAGATCAAAATACAAATCAGTCTAGATCTGAAGCAACGTAGATAGATCTTGATGATTGAGTTTAAACTGGACCAATCCAGAGCATAATGACAATGACAGTATTTAGATTATAATAGATCCTGTCAAACTAGACTGAGCCTGATCAAGCTGGATTTATCCAGATCTAGACTAATCCAGATCTAGGATCTGGATGCCCATCTGATCTGCCATAGCTCTGACATCGGCGAGTGTTGTTGTGTCCCCCTCCATAACTTCCTTTAATTCTGCGGCGAATTCTGCAGCCTCAGCTTCTGCCTCTGCTGAGTTCTCTGCTACAGGTTCTGGGGCTGAAAGTGAGGGAATTCCACATAATGGTTTTCTTAAGAGAGAAATTTCAAGTGTTCTATTAGAAGACTGTGTACTACACTTAGTATATATAATAGCCTCATCCCACATGGCATAGTCTTGTCATAGCCTTACATAATATCATTATATTTATATTGTTCAGCAATTAAGTTTTTGACCTTTATCTAATATCATTATGCTCACTGTAACCCCAAACTAATACTTCATTTGGTCTTTTTGAGGGAAGGCCAACTCCTCTTGGTCAACATTCCAAGAAAAAAAGGAAACAAACTAAGAGACAAAAGCCAAGAAGTAACATGAAAGTAACATCTAGCTGATGTAATAACACTCTATTGCCATGAATGCTGACCATGCATTTAGGCTGCAAAAAGGGTTTAAAATTCAAAATCAGTTCCATCCCACCCAGTGTCATCATACCCACCATCCTGTGAGGTAGCTGCTTCACCCCCTGCCTTCCCAGCAGACACAGATGCAGATGTAGTCTCCTGGTCTTTAGCCGACCCAGTCTGCTCGTCAAACGTGATCTCTGTGATCCTCGGTGGCTCGTCAACAATTTCTCTCAGCAAGCCTGTATGGAGAGCAATTTCAAAAGCAGATTTTTAAAAACTGTTAGAATTAATTGACTGCCCTAGATAGTTGCTTTCACCCAAAACTTACTATGAATACAAAAAGGTGACACAAAACCAGACTGGAAATACAGAAATAAGTTTTTGGTGTGTACATGCCGGATCAAGAATTATATCCTATTACAGTATGTTCCCACACCCTAGGATGTTTCAATGTTATAATATTATAGGCCTGGGGTGTTACTCTCTTGATCTATTGCTTACTTTGTATAATCAAGTCTGACTCACAATCATCAAAAAGACGAAGTGAAGCAAAAAGAAAGCAAGACTTAAGCTTTAAAACAGCACCAACCTTGCACAGCGACTGTCTCGGCCCCCCGTAGCCTGTTGAGATGATCCACACCGAGCGAGCTGAGCTGACGGACCTGAGACAATGAAGAATTTTTTAAAGAAAATCTGTCTCTCTTTCTCTTTATTCTCTTTATTTTGAAGTCAAAGTACTTCGATTTAGCCCAAAAGGCTAATCTTTCAGGGCTCATAATATACAATAGATAACATGGTAAAAAAGCACACATTTAGCACAAAAAGAAATTTACATTACGTACAAATTTAAGTAACATAATCTATGTACTAGTCACAGAACATTATAATTATGAACAGTGTCTGCCACAGCACTTGATTCTAGACTGCAAATCTGCATTTTTTGTTTGATCCCAATGAAACTTCATCCTGAGTCAACACTTCACCCAGTGTTGACGTCACACTTCAAAGAAGCCACATGACAAGCCTCACTGGGTCAAAAGCTCTAGGTGAGAGAACTTTTTGTGTTGGACCAAAAGTTTCAGTTTTAAACATCAGTAACTACCAACACAGATGAACTTTCATGATAGTATCCTGAGTGAACATTTGTACTACCTGTGACACAATCATCATGAGTCGTGCAATGTTCCCCGGGGAGAAACCAAAGGTGCTGCTGCAGGCCTCGGCAAGAGCCTCGTTTATATCCTGCTGCAGCCGCTGGACCTGACGGTAGTCCTGCAGTCTGCTCACAGCTGGGAAATACAGCAGAACATTTCTATCACCTAAAATGTTTCTATAACCCTTGGGCTACAGTAACTTGTAGGTGACTAGTCCTCTGAAAGTGGAAATTCATCCCTTAGGCCACACCAATTTAATTTCTTGGTTAACGGATTCACCGCTTCATTTTTTTCAGATTTGCAAATAAAAATAAAAATCCAGAATCAACTGCAAAATGCTCATATTTTGCCCTGAACAGTTGAAAACAGACCTTTTCATCCTAGTTGTTACAGTTATTCCATCTTTCAATGCAGTGGTATCATTAAAAGTTCAAAATTCATTGTTTAAATTTTGAACCAGCCTGGTGTGTTGACTTCATGGCTCCTATCGTACCATTTTGGGCCATAATACGATGCCTAGGCCTGTTTTTATTTTTATTTTTTTTCGCTCGCCCGCTCCATTATTTTTCTAGAAAAATCCGTTAACCAAGAAATTAAATTGGTGTGGCCTTAATGATAATAAAAAAACTTTGCCCTGGCTTGTCTTGTAGCCACATTAATGTTCAGTTAAGGCAACTGTTAAGTTAAGACCAATCTGATAACACATATCTTTAATGGCTTCCAAGAAATTGTTATGCAACTTTGCGAAATCCCCTCTGCCTGAAGCTGTAACCTAAATTTGACGCTAGAAGGTGTTAAGCTATGAGGTTCTTCTACAGATGCTTGGTACATCTAAAAGTTTATACATCTAAGAACTTACCAGTAGTATAGAGAGTGAGTGCCTTCAGACACACGTACACCTCCTGTGACACCTGCAGGTCAGCAAACTGCCGGGCAAACTCCAGCATGGGGGTGCAGATGTACTCCATACCGGATAATCTACACAGGGATCTGTAGGAGCAACAAAACATCTGGGATTTAAGATACGTCGATGAAGGTTAGACATCCTGGTAATGAGATACACTAGGAAACAGTTACTCAAGCAACTGGATAGGTTTTCAAAATCTGAGATGCTGGAGTAACAGTTGTTCCCTTGTCTAAGATTTAAGACTTCTGTGAAAATACGAGTGTGCATATTTCTTGTTTTGTATAGTGAATTTCTTGTTGATTGTGTCAATACATTTCCCCAATTGCTCCCGTAAGCAACAGATATACAGTAGGAAATGGAAGTCCAGTCTCACCAAACAAACAAAACAAACAAACAAACAAACAAACAAACAAACAAACCCTGACCTGTCCATGAGCAGATCTGGAGCAAAGACCAGCCACTCTCCGCGATGCTCCATGGATCTCCACACCAGACCCAACATCAGCAGGTCCAGCCAGACTGTCCGGATCAGGTTTACCTGGTCATCCATGGGCAGCATTCCATAACCTACAGTCAGGCAAAGAACAATAAGAATTAAGGAGTGGATAAACCAAGGTATTTTGAATAGACTGAAGTATTTGGAGTACTTGATGAATAATGATTCAATGACATGTGATTCTGTGCATATCAGCATTGTCACTTGTTCACGCCTTTGACCACCAATTTGACCTTATTGTCAGTACGTCTGTGGTTACACCATTTCCACTTCACTTCCTGTGACTGTATTCAAATAACTATGAATACAAGCAAACAACAAAAAATATACTAATAATAAATAATCATTGCAATCACTACCGATAAAATTGGTTACTATCTCTACCCAGACATATACTTAGTCTAGTGCAGTCCTGTCCCTATTACTAGTACTAACAGTATTTTGACCAACCATTGACAATTAGACAACAAAGTTAACAACCATATACATACCTGACAGCCTGGCAGCCCAGTCCCTATAGCAGTAGTTTGACCAACCATTGACAATGACAATATTACACAAAGTTACTGGTAACTGATATACATGTACATGCCTGAAAGCCCACTGGCTATTGCAGTATTTTGGCTTAACAATTGATAACTAAACAAAGTCAAGTCGAAATATACATACCTGGCAGCCTGGCTGCCCAGTCCACCAGTCCCTCTATCTCCCTGTTAGCCAGGTCTGTAACCAGAGCCATCAAGTACCCTTCTGATGGTGTGCACTGGGGGTTATACCCGGTCAGGATGGGGTTAGGCTCTATACTGACCAGGTGAGAGATCAGGGGGACAGTGGGGTTATACAGGGGAATTGAGGGGTGCACTATGACTTGTTGATTGGGGGGTGTTTCTTCGCTGGGGGGGTCCTGGCGAGATTTTTTGGGAGGCTTCTTATTGGGGGATTTTTTGGTCTTGGGTTTTTTCTTGGTTGCTCTGTTGGGTACAGCATGTTCTGTAAAATGTGAAAACAAGGAAAGGTGTAAGAGAGTAGTGAAAGAGTGCAGTGAAAACAGAAGAAAGAAAAGACAAAAACTTGTGTCTGTAATCATAACTTTTGTGACTTTACATTGGGAAGTGATTGGTCAATTATTATCCTGATGATCATGAAGGCAGCAGCAGTTGTTAAAAATTTTATATCTACCCCTTAAGCTTGTGTTGGAATAAATTTCAGCATTTTACTAAAAACTTAATGTGTTTCATATACAATGTACATCAGTTATAAAATAGACCCATTCGACTTTCACAGATCGCATAAACTGCCTACGTCACAGGGGGGACATTTGGAATAGAAACTACGTCACAGGGGGGACATTTCGAAAGTTCCTTTCACGGATCGCATAAACTGCATACGTCACAGAACAAAATAACCTTAAATTGTTGTACGGATTGCCACCATACAAAGTTGGTGCCTGTTTTCCTGTCATTTCCGCATATATTACCTAGAAAATAGACACTTACCTACCTTTTAGTAAAAAAATGATCTGCCAGGGGGGACACCGCGAGTGCAAGCCGTGTTCGACTTCAGCGTTCTAGAACGACGTTCTTTCGAAATGTCCCCCCTGTGACGTAGGCAGTTTATGCGATCCGTGAAAGTCGAATGGGTCTATTAATGCTTTACACTTACATACAAAATGTTGTCAAGTATTGTTGGCGGAAAGCCAACTGATAGTGCAGTATGTGCAAAATTGACATGAAGGTGAAGTAACAAGCTAATTGTGGATCCAATTATAAAAGAAGAAGAATATTGTTGCACTTCTAACCTTCATAAGACATGCCCAGCATCTGGCACTTCTTGAGTCGGCAGGCAGGGCAGTTTTTCTTCAGCCGGCGGTCGATCACACAGTTATTATTGGCAGGACACACGTAAGGATGGGCTGGAAAATAGAAAAAAATATGCTTCTTCTCAAACTTGTAAAGAAGTTTTGTGAAGAACTGTATGATTATCTAACTGGTCTTGTGGTTTTAGGGTCCCTAGCTAGCCCCAATGTTGTGTCCTAGGGAATTTCTTAGCAGCTTACACCTATTTCATTACTCTACTCACTGAAAAAGAATAACCACCTCTGGTTAGGGACGTAAACCAAATATCCCATGTTTGAGAGAGCCACACCTGGGGCATGTTACAATCCTACCACACTTGCGTCAAACCTTATGGTTTGGTCTTATGCATACATATAGCTTGAATACATACTTTACAAAGCAGGCATGTAATGCCTAAAGGCATTTACCAGTTACTAGTTGTGCAAAACCCCATGACTGTTCTTACCTCTTCTCTGAGCCCTGTGGAAGAAGGACTTGCATCCCTCGCAGGCGTACACACCATAGTGCAGACCGGTGGAGGGGCAGTGGCAAATGGCACAGGGGGGCTAAACGGACAGAAATTGACAGTAGAATTATGTCACTATACTATATCATAGAATTATATCATAATAAGATGTGCAGTATAGAGGGTGGATTCATTCCTCAAGCTAACAAAGTTTTGTCCCTCAGTAAGACATCTGGAGCTGCATAGTTCCTGTTTAGAACTATTCCGCTCCAGATGTCTTACCGAGGGATGACTGAGGTGTGTTAGATGTCAGTTAGCTTGAGAAATAAATCCACTGTCTGTGCTTTATAAAGATAAGAATTGAAGGTACGAGTTTAATAGATAGTTATCTGTGAATATGCAATCTTTGATGCCTCATTAAAAGAGCTCCTGCTCAAATATAAGATGCATGCCATTTAGATAGAAAAAGATATATAAATTTCAGTCGTTACATAGCATGGCCTTCTGCATGTTTAAAACATTTTTGCCTGACATTTGTGAAAAGTGTCTAGACATTTTTCAACCTACCTTCTGCCCTGATCCGGGGGAGGCTGCCCCAACATTCGCTGCCTGATTCCTCTGCTGGTTAGCTGTCCATGGTGCTGATTCCTCGGTGCCTGTCCATTTCTGTGCCGGTTCCTCGTACATTGGCTGTTCCACCCTATTCCAGGCGCCCGTCTGGGGACCAGACATTGCTGTCCTTACCTCCATGTTCTGCTCTGCTGCATAGGTTCTGACATAAGGCACTGTGGCTTGCGGGTGTGGCCGCCCTGGACTATAATACGGCCTCACCACTTGGAATGGAAAATACTGCGGTGAAATCAGCGCAGTGGATGTGCTAACATTGCTTCTCTGTACTGGGTACTCGTTACCTCTTGGTTGCGTAATCGGCGCCTGAGTTACGTTGCTGATAGGATAGTTGGTTGGAATCAGAGGAAGTTCAGGCTGTACGGGGCTAGGCAACCTGTATGGTTGCGTTGGTTGTAGCTGAGGTTGCACTATATACGCTTGCTGACAAGCTAAGGGATGAAGTCCTTGAGTTGCCATTGGAGTGCCGTCTGCGTTGGGTTGATTCTCCATTTTGTTGTCTGGTCCTTGAGATGATTGCTGGCTGCAGTACTGATAAGACTCACCAGGTGGGGTGAGTGTACTTTGATGCTGATGATGATGTTGTTCCACTGTTATGTTGAATATTCAAGAGGATGGGGTCACTTCAGGTGTTGCAGAGGAAATTGTCTTTGTTCAGACCTACAGGGGAAAGGTAACATGAAGTCTGGGCTTGAAATTCATTTTTGGGAATAGGTGCACCCAACCAAAACAATTAGGTGCCCAAAAAAATTTTTGGGTGCACCATATCAAAAAACCTAATTGCAGACCTTACTGCTCCTTTTCTGAGCTTGAATCTAAAATGAAAGCTAACTTCAAAATCTTAAACAAGAAACTTACTACAAGAAAGATTTTATTATTTTTCTGATACTCAGAGACCAAGAATATACAGTATACTATCATAAATTTCTAATGTTAAAAATTCCTACAAAAATATTTGGGTGCACCAGCGCACCCACAGAAACAAATTAGGTCCATAGCTCCAATTTCGGGTGCACTAAGGTGCACATGCACCCAGTATTTCCAGCCCTGTGAAGTGCTGTTAGTGTCAAAGAGTAAACATAGTGAAGAGATATTCTTCAACTGTTATACCAGTAATGTATCACCTAGTGTCAGGGTACCACAGAAGAAAATTCTGAAGGCACTATAGACAACATCATTTGTAGTCATTTCTAGCACTTAAGAATATCTAACATTAAAATTCCTGTCACATACATATTTCAAGCATACATGAAGGAAATACAAAAAGGAAAAAAGAAATACAACAACACTATGAAAAACAACAATTCTGACTTTGTCTGGCATGTTCGGAGAAATCAAGGTTGTTTAGCTGAAGACTCTGAAGTTTTGAAACTTCAGTCTCATGCCATTTTGCAGACTTTCCAGTCTGAATTGTGCTGTCATTTACAATAAAAACAAGAGATTTCAAAAGAATATAGAGTACCCACATGCATTGAGCTCAGTACAGTACTTGACTTAAGAAATATGGCATAAATTTTCAGACATGTATGATAAAAACAAGACAGTTAAAAAGAATATAGAGTACTGGTAATGTTACTCATTGAGCCCAGTAGTACTGAGCTCAGTACAGTACCTCACTCTTATCATAGAAACATGTCAACTGTTTAGTCAGTTGTGTGCCATACCATTTTGCAGAATTTCTAGTCTGAATTGTTCTGGCATTTACAATAAAAACTAGAGAATTATAAGCCCAGTAGTGAGCTCAGAACAGTACCTCACTCTTATCAAAGAAACATGTCAACTGTTTAGTCACTGCCAGTTGTTTTTGTGTCTGGCACCATTACTGCATGTTGATGGATGTAAACACTTGTAGCTGCCATTTGGCATGAACCCGAACGCCACAAATTTTTCAATGACAACTTTTTGTCTTCCTGCCAAAAACACAGCAGCCCTGCCTTCTAGTGAGGTTATTTCCAGTAAAAATCTACAAAAAATCAACGAATTGTAGCAGAAAATATATCAAATGGCAATGGAAACCTATTTGTAAGCAAGACAGAATTTTCTAACCTCTTTTTTATCTTTCTATTAAACGATAATGTAACTGAAGCACACATGCGTATAAAATACGCCCCCTAGCGGAGCTAGCAATACACGACAGCTTCAAAGCTTCAAACCATCGTGGACAAATTTTCCCGTCATTTTGATTAATACATAATTCATCCCAACATTAAGTCGGCATTAACTTCATTTCGAGCGATTAAAACTTGTTTCTATGTTCAGCCGACGGCAAAACAAGCCATAAGGATCATTCAACACCAAAAACCCATATGCAATAACAGCGTTCGCCCTTCAACTAGTTGACGCTGGCCATGTGTTAGGTATTTTGTCGTTTGGCACGTTTTGAAGCCAGCTTTACCCCTTACCTAGTAACCTTTGCCAGCTCGCGAGAATTCCTCCTGAAAGCTAAGGAGTACAAAAAACTCGACCAAAGGATTTTTGGACCGTTGACAGCATCTGTTGAAATACCCGCCCCCCTCCCTCTTACAAAATCGTATGTCACGGGTATTAACTAAAGGAGTAACATACCACAAAATCCGAAACGTGTTCTCCTCAGAAGCAGGAAATGCCGAAGTGATGTGACGTTTGTTGAGTGAAGTTTTGATTAAAATGTTTTAGTGTAAGCGTGCCAGCTTAAGATAACGTTGTCGTGACAACGTCACACGCAGGAAGTCATGAGACTTTTCAAGTTGACCAAAAACACGCCCAAAAATTCCGAAAGTTTTGCACAACTTACCTTAAACGTTACCGCACACCGTCACTTTCCTTGGATAAAAGACCCTTTCTGAGGTCACAATTCAAATCCTAGGCTTCCAAATACGAAATAATCATCTTTGTGATCGAAAACAATCGTCGTAACAACAAAGTTGATTCGGCCGAACATAGTTGAATAACCTGTGACGTCATCAATGAGCGCATGCAAACATAAAGGTCATATCAGGTTAAGTCCAAAGTGGGGGCGTTTGCGATAGAATTCAACCGTAAGTACAAAGAAATGCTGTATAAAATTGACATTTTACGTAACTTAGCTTTTCCCATACTTCTCATGTCATACTTCAGATACTAACAGCGATATTTAGCGGGAAAAGGTACCGAAATAACACGTTTTTGTTCTTGCCATCTTCTTTCTAGCTTTGGCAGTGGCGAAATTTGTTTTTCTTTCGGATTTTCTGGCTCCAGACTAGATAATACAGTTTTCCACCTCACCCCACCATATGACCCTTTCTTGTGTTGTTATTGTCGGCCTCAGATCGAGTATGAAATTGGAAAATGCACCAGAAAATTGCTCCGGATCAACGTTTTTGTCCACAGATGCTCGCCGATGACCTTCGAAAGATAAATATCTATGAATAGCGTAACGCCATGTAGTCCTTCCTGTCTCTGTCTTTTCTAGACTTTCCCACATATTGAGACATACCTACTGGTAAAAAATGGGCTAGAGGGGGTGTTACCTCGGTTAATGCCTTTAAGAACAGACTTGACAAACATATGGAGTGTCATCCAGTTATGTACAGTCACACGGCCCTGGATTGCCCGCATAGGCCGGGAATGACAGTCCAGTAGAACAACGAGCAGCCTGAACGGGGTGGATTCCTACCTGACTGGAAGAATCTACTATCTACTACCTCTTTTTTTTCCAGTACTAGATTTCATAATAGTTACTTTGTCAAAAAAAACTAATGGTACAAAATAACGTTTAACACTATTTTTCCCGCTTAACACGTTTTCTTAACTCAAATAATTATAAGTACTTAATAAATGTACTAAATATTCAAGTCTGTCTATATAACGTTAGCCTAAAATAGATTATATTGGGTTTTGGACTTTCTCTTTTTGAAAGCTTTTAGGCGTTTTGTCTAAATGTAGGCCAGAATAAAAGCTTATAAAATAGAAAACCCGACAAATGACTTTGTTCACACAGCAAGATACGTTACAATAAAATAATAATAATAAGAATATTATCTTGTTTACCAAAGCTATCTTTAATATAACGTTAGGCAAGATTTTTTTTCAATCCCACCTTATCCTATATTGAAGATTTAGTACTCACGCCATGTTTGAATGACTGCATATGCCCTTAGGAAAGTCTCTGTTATTAAAGCATCTTTCCGGATGCAGACAGGACACATTGACGTAGTATGACGTAAACAACAGAAAAGAAAAACAACAGCTAGGTTGGAAGGTAGCTATAGGGGTCTGTCCTAGCCTCCGTAGCAGGCTTATAGAACTGGGGGTTTGGTGGTCTTCGGCTGTTTTCTGATTAGCCTCCGTAGCAGGCTTATAGAACTGGGGGTTTGGTGGTCTTCGGCTGTTTTCTGATTAGCCCAGTTGTAAAACGGGGGAATTGAATTCAACCAGGCCGGCTATGTTGTCTATATGCAATCAGAAAAAAGCACATAAAAGCTCCTGAAGACCCTACACGCCCCAGTTTTTGACATGCTAAGGAGGCTAGGTCTGTCCACTGTATAATCTTACGTACATGATATCCGTGCTTGTTTACACGAGCAACCTTGCTCGTCAGTAACCCTACAAGCTGGACAGGTTCTTATTAATAAACCCAGACTGTGTTCAGAGTTCATGTAGCGTTAAATCGTTCCAAATACAGTTGCCTTTTGGCCTACATCGGATGAGTTTCACTGAACGAGTCAATGACTTTCCGCCTGAACTCACACGCATTAAATTTAAACGCACCTACATGTACGTTTATTTCACACACTGAATTCTTGATTTCTCTAACGTTAACATGTTAAGTCAAAATTCATGCAACTATCTAAAAGAAAACCTAAAGAAAATCTAAAACCTTAAAAAAGAATTTCTACCATAAACGCATTCCTCGCCAAAAACAGTTACTCAAGCAACTGGATACGATTTTGGAAACAGTCAGTTTCAGGTATCATCTTGAGTAACTGTTTTTGGCGTGGATGTCTAACCTTCACCGACGTAACGCACTCCTGATCATTGATATAAACTTTTATATTCGTAATATATATCGATAACCTAACAAAATGGCGGCTGCTGTCACCATGGTTACAGCCGCCATGTTGACTCTTATGATAGGTGCACTGCTGACGTCATCCCGCAGCATGCTTCTGACCAATGAGAGTGAGCCGTTGTTGGGAGCCGGTGCCACGCCCAGCACTAGGCACATGAGCGGGTAGAGATCAACCGACTCGAATGGTGCCACCTAGGAAAATTAAATGGTACTGCATGTTATTGGAGGCTTAAGATCAGGGGTGCCAGAGTATACAGGGCAATTTTACAGAATACAGTTCAATTTTACTAGTATACAGTGCGATTTTAAAATTGTAAAAGTCAAAAAAGGAAAATTGCACTGTATACTAATACGATTGCACTGTATTCCGTAAAATTGTACTGTATACTAATACGATTGTAATATATTCCGTAAAATTGCACTGTATACTCTGGCACCCCTGAAGATGGGTCTTGATATTTCCTAAATGTGACATTTCAATCAGTGTTGGTAGTACAGAGTTGGAGGGTCGCTCGTTCAATCCTCGGCTTTCTAAACCCCCCCATGTCAACCTCCAACTCCTGATGACCTCTAATCAGACTCTGTGACCTTCAAGTTCACCTCATGATTTCCTATATCTGGCTCTTTCACCTCCTGTCATTCTGCCAGTCAATCTTTCTCCACCCAAGTGCTGTCAATCTACTCTGTCCTGACAAACATACGCGCAAACATACAGACAAATAAACCCAAACAATTCTTCCAAATCACTGCAAATAGCAAGAGGCCATTCAAGTATTATACAGAAACAGTCGTGGTGTTGCATACGGAACCGCTGATGACACTGATGAACCCAGTGCATCATGTCATTCCGCAGACGAGCAAATCGTCTAGACCGTAAAATGGGATTTAGTCTTTGGACTAGTAGTACAGGTGATCACTCACTTAGTTTCACTTCGGCAAAGTTGCACTCATAGTTACTTCAATAGTCTGTCTCTTCACAATCCACATAACGTATCCTCCCATTTTCGGTATTTTCTTGTCATGTCATTTACTGAAGAAGCCTGGGGAAGCTGGGCCCCACATTTTTGCATGTTTCGAACCCGAATCACGTTCGATCATGTTCGATGTGACGTCATTCGAACAGAGCGCGTGTTCCATTCTTCTTCCTTTCGAAATACGTGCGCGAATGGGTGTGATCCATAAAATTTACTTGTCGTCGCCTAATATACAGAGCTTGTTATGACTCGAACGCTTGGAGTTTTCCCCAAGCCGAAACGAAAACATGAAACAGTGAGTGGGAGTGAAACAATGTTGCTGTGCGTTCGTGTGTCAATCATGCAGTGGTAAGTTACATTAAGGATCAGTAGGGGATCCGCTTGCGGCACGGCGGGTTGTCAGCTTTGCATGTTGTTGTTGCTTCAAGTTCAATATGCTGTGCTACGTGCCCACGCACAGGTGCACTGTTGAAAGGGTGTGTAACCGGTGTTTTTCAGAACCTTTTAAATAACTACAGAGGTAAAATTCAATGTTGATTTGCGATAAGCCAAAGTCAGAAAGTTCAATGGTTTACATGCACTTAAGTTACCCCACGACAAAAAGTTTCACAGCGAAAAGATGTTTGTGGAAAAGTCTTCTCACTAATAATGATTCTCCTCTACCTTCGACTACATGAACTCAACTCTTCAAGAAATATGCGAGCAATAAAATATTAATTGTCTAGTCTCTATTAGACCAGTCCAATTGAAAATTTGTAAAAATCAGCCCAAATCTGACCGAATATATAACCACAACAGCTGTAACAAGACTTGGAGCAACAAACCATGGTATTACAGCTAACAACTCTTTATATTCCTGTTTTCAAGCAAACCCACCACCTTCCCCAAGAAAATAGACCATAGCAAGAGAGAGAAAACATTTATAACAGTTATAATGTAATCCGAGCACGCAGAGCGTCGCGTGTTGAAGCATACAGAAACATGTTTGAAACAGTCAATTTAACATCTCATCGGCCCAAAACACCCGCAGACCGTGTAATGGCTGTCTGGATCTGTGCAATCATCAGTCTACATGCCAGCCAACCTTCGAGAATAGTAGCCTCCGCCAGGCCTTTCTAATACGGATCGTAGAATTCGGCAAAAAAAAAGAGAGTAAAATTGGCCAAAGGAGTCCGGCCGCAGGGAGGTAGTTTCTTTCCCTCCGAACTGCGCGGCCAGTCAAACCTACAAGGCGGCCAAAAACTTCCCTGGCAAAAATATTCTCCTATATATAGCCAGCGTAGTTATAGAGACTCGCACCTTGTCTGAATACACGATCTTCGCAAGCACACGGTTTGTTAAATCGCATCAAACAAGTACATGATCTATGGCTTTGTTTGAAGCTATCTGATGGTTGGTGGGTGTGCTCTGATGAAGACGCTTCTAGAGGATGACAAATTTGCCTCCTCAATGTATTTTTCATCATCTTGTGCTGATGAGGTCGGGAGGTCTACTCGTGACTGTTTCTTCTTCTTCTTCTTGTGATACCGGACTAGTTTTGGAATCAGAAAAGCGTGAAAATAATCTGTCTGCTTCCCATTAAAAGAAGAAGGGGAGGTCTGGAGTGAAATGAGTAGGAAAAACAGTAGTAAACTGGCGTTGTTTTCAAATTCATGATCAGACTTATAATATATTATAGTATAACGTTACACGACGTTTCCTACAAGTTCACCCCATTTCCTGTGTCTGACCTTTTCATCTGTTATTCTGCCTGTCACGTGCTGTCAACTACACTGTCCAGACCAACAGAGTCTAACAGACACACAAACTCATAGCCTGGAGCCCAGCCTTGTGAGCTTTAGTCCGCTCTCCAAAATTCGCTATCCCGCCATCTAGAGGTGCGGACTAAAGCTAACAAGGCTAGACTCCAGGTTAACAAACTCAGCCACCCAAAACAATACTTCCGTATAACAGCATCCCTCTCCACGTTAGGTTGCGACCTACTACTCTCTAAGCAGGGGTTTGGATTTTTGCTTATTTTTGAAGTGTTTTTAGGCTTTTTTATTGGGATTTCTTTTTTTACATTGTCACTTGTGTTACTTTTACGTTGGGTTGGCGTGAAAAAAGATACCAGTGCAAAAAAGAAAGCCCAGGCTCAAAAAAGGCTAAAATGACGCCAAAAATAAGCCGAAACCCAAACCTCTGCTTGGAGAGAAGGGACTTACGTCATAGTCCTGTTTGAAGCTGGGTCCGAAGGCGCGGAAGAAGGCCCGCATGTCCGGTAGCCTCGGGTCCCAGCCATGTTCGGACACCAGGGGATGGTAGCCGGGGTACGTCTGCACAGGGAACAGATTGGCAATTGTTAGCTTTTTTCTTAAAATTCATTTACACTTGGACATATATTTTTTTATTGTATTTTATTTTCATTTTCCGTCATATTTATACAGGGTGACCTATTCAGTGATGACACTGCTTTTCAATGGGGCCCTGTATTAATATTGTTGTATATATAACAACAAAGTCACACCAGATCAGGCGTTTCCCTCAAGTTAAAAATATAACTTAGCAAAGACACATATAAAGAAACAAAAAAAGAAACAAAATACAATGTTGACAAAAATGATGTGATATACTAAAAATGTCTATTAGAGCTAGATCAATCAATCAATCAAAAATGGTTTATTGATAAAAGACATTGCAGCCAGACAGGCTGAATTGCGCCTTCTGTACATACATATTGTGCAGGACACATTAAAAATATTTACAACAAAGTTTTAAAATAATACATAGCTTTAAAATAATACATAGCTTTAAAATAATACATTAGTGGCAATTGCTTCTAATATCAGTTAGCGTTCAGGATCCGCAACATCGACGGTACAGGACTGTTCTTAAACCTTAGAGTTCGGCAGGTCGGTAGTGTTAGTTCATTAGAATTCCTAAGGGACCGTCCATGTGTTTGTCCCCTGGAAACGGGTACTAACTCAACAGTTCTTTCAGATGTTGCCATGCTGCTTGCAAATTTGGCGCACAAGTGGTCTCGTCTGGTAGCAAGTCTCTTTAGTCCGCAGACAGTAAGTGCTGTGTTATAGTCTGTGTAAGCCCTCCCAAGAATGATACGACATGCCCGCTTCTGCACACGTTTAACGCACTAGATGCACTTAACGACATAGATAATGATAACTTTATTGCAAATTCTTGCCATGAAAAGTACGTTGTACCACGAAAAATTTGAACAAACAATGGGAAGCAATATAACAGGTGAATCCTCTAGTCTGCATACTGAATCTCAATTCTAACTTGTTTGCTTTGACTATTTTATCTGAAACAGTGGACGAAATTCTGGAAGACAAAAGACCCCATTTTTATGCATTGTGTGAAGAGTAGAAGAGTCAGTTATTACACAGATAACAGAAAATCACTGTCTGTAAACGTGCATCTGATACAACGATCTCAACTAATAAACCCCCATAAGACACATTAGATTTATCTTGTCTTTAATCCTGTATATATGTGCTACAACATATCATATATAAACAGAAATATCTAACAAATTATGACGAAAGGGGCACAAGGAAGTTCATTTTCATACACCCGGGTGATTCATTCTGGTACAAATGTCCCAATTTTGTGTCTTTTTAATTTTTCTTTGTCGCAATTTATCAGGAAGGAAGCCCATAAAGTTCTTTCTGCAGGCCTGCACTCCACAGATTAGAGTTCATTTTCCCCTCCCCACCGATCATGTATCGATGATGAAAGGCAATTACCGCTCCGGTTGGCAACAGTGTACGTCTTGCCACACATGTAACAACTGTTACACTGATACCGCGGTTATTGTAGCGGTAATTGTAGCAAGAAGCTGGTCTGCACTGACGTCAAAGACTAGGGCATCGGTGTTATCTAAGCCATAATTTTTGAGATTCTACACCAACTGTCCGTCATGACGAACTCAAATGAAACGAAAAACAATCGAACCCGACGTTTTTTTGGTTGCTTTACATAATCCGCTTATGTAAAGTAAGCGAACGAACTTCGGTCTCGATTGATTTTCGTAATTATAGCAAGAAGCCGTTCTGCATTGACGTCAAAGGTCGGGCCATTCGGTGTTGTATAATTCAACATCTTACAGAAATTCTACACCAAATGACCTGGAATGAAGCGAAAATCAATCGAGACCGACGTTTTCTTTATTTTACATGACCAGTAAACTCCCTTGGGGCGTAACACTAGTTTTGTTCGGTGTGGACAAGCTATGTAAAACCAGGCCTAGGTTACTCACACCACTGACCCCTACGTACAGTTTTATAGTGTTTTTCTCAATGTTTTAGGTATTTTTGGTGGTTGCATTTTTCTCTTAGCCTCATAAAAAGATTGAATATTATATTCCTGACCGAATATATGACAAAGGTGGGGTCTGCCATGGCGAGAAAGATCACATTTCCTGAAGAGGGCCATAGGCTAGGCTAAAATTTGGTTAGTTGCATTTTTAATGCGTTCTAAGTATTTTTGTTTGTTTCATTTTCTCTTTTCTAATTAAAAAATTTATTTGTACTCCTAACCGAGTATATGATGAAAGTTGGGATCTACAATGGCGAGTATGGTCACGTGCCCAAAGTGAGAGGTCATTTTTTCCGAAGAGGGCCGCAGGTTTGGTTAAAATTTAATTTTGTTTTTGGGGTATTTTTGTTGTTTTCATTCTCTCTTAGTTGTACAAAAAGATTGCAATTGATTTGTATGCCTGACCGAGTATATGACGAATGTAGGGTCTGCCATGGGGAGAAAGATCACGTGCTCGGAGTGTGGGTCATTTTTCCTGAAGAGGGCTATAGGCCAGGTTGAAATTTGGTTAGTTGCATCTTTTGTGTTTTTTTTTAAATTCTTTTTTAGTTTTTGTGTTAGTTGCATTTTATTCTTATAATAAAAGTTGATTTGTAGTCCTAACCTAGCCTCTACCAGGCTTCGGGAGGTGGCTGGCCTGGAAGAGTAGAAATTCGCCATGTAGAGAGAAATAATATGCTGGGGGAGTTGGTCCGCTAGAAAGTACATTTTGCGGACTAACAATTTGGCCAATTTCTTCTCTTTCCAGTCGCCTCTCGAAGCCTGGTAGAGGCTATTGCTGACCGAGTATATGACGAATGTAGGGTCTGCCATGGCGACTATGTCCGGGACCCGGGGATGTCCGGCCCAGTGGAGGTCAGCTGGGAAATCCTCCTTCTTGTACACCGTCATGTTGGGGTGGGCGGTCCTCAACAACCTGTACACCTGGAAAGGAAGAAGAAGTATCTGTATCTCTGTATCTGTATAGCCGGTATAACCGCCCTTCGACGTAACACACCAGCTTCTGTATCTGTATAGCCGGTATAACCGCCCTTCGACGTAACACACCAGCTTCTGTATCTGTGTAGCCGGTATAACCGCCCTTCGACGTAACACACCAGCTTCGCAGGCACGCGGCGCGGTTGCGTACAACCTGCGTACAAGTACAACCTGTTAAACACAAAATGAGCTACTAATTTTGTACACGTGCCATGTTTTTGTTTTTTGTTGAAAATATGTTTGAAAATGCTAATAAAAAGGGTTAAAAAGAGACCTGTTTAACATCTGTTCAGTAAGAGTATATAAGTCACACGTACTCTGACCCTACTCAAGTTGGAATGACCCGGATTCCTTTCAACCGGTCACGTGACTTAAGCTTCGGGTCATTCCAACTTGAGGAGGGCCAGAGAACTCATTGAAAAGTTGTTGTTAGGCACTTTATTTTAGCTAAAGGTTGTATTATTTTAAACATTCATAATGTCATTTACCCTACCAGACGAACATTCGAAAAAAGGTCTTTATTCGCTGAACACACCTCCTCTCCCCTCCCCTCCTTGGGCTGAATAATCGCCAGCGGTCCATAATCCGCCAGGTAGAACTGCAGGTAGGACTCGGGGACGTAATTCAGCAGCTCGATCTGATGCGGTGACGTATTGACGTCCTGCGCGCCGTGGTCTGACGCTATCATGACGTTCAACGTCGCTTCCAAGTCGTAACGACGTATTTCTTCCCGCAGGTAGCCGATTACCTGGTCGGCCTGTCGCACCTTTTGTTTCCGTTCTTCCGATCTGGTTTGAAAAAAAAATATCGGCAAAAGATAACATTTGTAGATATAATTTCACCAGGCTGGTGCATGTCAGTGAAGGTTAGACATCCAGGTAATAAGAAACGCCAAAAACAGTTACTCAATTTCAATTTATCATAAAAATCGACATGGCAGAAGTGCATGAACATCTAAATTTACAAATATACAGAATATTCAGTATTTCGCACAAAAACTTAAACTTAAACTTTATTCATTCAACCAACCTTGCAGTACACACATGCATTTGCATTGAACTGAATTGTGTTGATCTTACATTTTAAAATTTGGAAAACACTTAGAAGAATTGATAACATTTAACAATTTAAAAGATATCATATTACATCCCATTGCGATCATCATAACAGTATAAGTACGTCGACACATTAAAAGTTTTCTTTGTCAATAGTTAAAATCTTCTATCTGCGGATACAATGGACACAACAACGACAAAACAGAGGTAAATATATACATACTTGCAATGTACATATTATGCCTTTCCTTGACATGAAGCATGGGCCTTAGTGTGCGTTTTGCAGTTCTTTCATAGCCCTTACGAGAAATGAGTAAAGCTACCAATGCACTATACAGCAATGTTGTAAAACACTACAGTGCACAAAAGGACAAGCAATTGGATACCATTTTGGAAATGGCCAAGCTGGTGAATGCTTGAATAGAATACGTCTTTAGCCACAATCACTTGATTAACAAGAGCCGACGTTTCGATGACTGTCTGTCATCTTTCTCAGGGCAATTATGATGAAGATGACAGATGGCCATTGACATAATTGGGATAATGGCCTGACAACGGTAAATTAAGACAGGTGGTTGTTAAAACGTCAGCTCTTGTTAAAAAGCGGTTGTGCATAGATGAATATTCAACAATTATTTTTTGCTTGATCAATTTCGCACATACCCTTTTCAGGTACTGCAACCACTGAGGACCTAATATTTGACGGATTGCGCAACGAATTTCATAGATTAAGGCCGAATTGGTCATCAAGCTTCTTGGGCCTGACCAATGTAAGGACTACCAGAAATGTGATATGGTCAGGCTAGGGGCCCTGGCCAGTGGAAGGGCGAATAGAAGTGTAATGTAGTTAGACTAGGGGCCTGACCTGTGGAAGGGCTACTAGAAGTGTAATGTAGTCAGGCTAGGGGCCAGACCTGTGGAAGGGCTACTACAAGTGTAATGTAGTCAGGCTAGGGACCTGACCTGTGGAAGGGCTACTAGAAGTGTAATGTAGTCAGGCTAGGGGCCAGACCAGTGGAAGGGCTGCTAGAAGTGTAATGTAGTCAGACTAGGGGCCTGACCAGTGGAAGGGCTGCTAGAAGTGTAATGTAGTCAAGCTAGGGGCCTGACCAGTGGAAGGGCTGCTAGAAGTGTAATGTAGTCAAGCTAGGGGCCTGACCAGTGGAAGTGCTGCTAGAAGTGTGATGTAGTCAGGCTAGGGGCCTGACCAGTGGGAGGGCTGATATAAGCGTGATCACGGTAGCCAGCGCTCGATCATCTTGAAGTTTCTAGTAGTAAGATTTAAAGACGTAAACAAAACACTTGCAATAGATCTAGAGACTATCGAGTACATATCTTGCTGTAAAGATGACTGCTTGAACGTCTTCGCGAATCTTCTAATGATCAATTTATGACTCCTTCACAAATCCAGTAAGCCACGATTTCCCGTCGTTCAGCTGACATGAAAACTTACTTCCTTATTTCTAATCGTCACCAAAACCACTTCGAAGACGCGCTTCCTTGAGCGGATTGTAGTCATTACTACTAATGGGTCTTTTAAGAACTCATTGAGAAACGGTTCCATCGTTACGGTTCAAGAAGTGCCTATTACCGCACCAGCAATGGTCAAGGACGACGAGAGGCCTTCAACTTGAAGAAGAAGAAGGTCTCCCATGCTGTTATGCTGAGCGTAGGGTGCCCATCTCCATTTCCGTAGCCCTTGGGCAACACACAGTTGTGCAAGGCACTACAGCAGGGGGCTGGTCCGCTGGTAGTGCTGTGTGTTTGAGCTTCCCACACTCTTTCTCATATGTGCTGAGTGCTAAGCAGAGAAAGAAGTGTGTACCATTTTTAAAGTCTTTGGTTTGAACTCACGACCTTCCGGTTACAAGGTCGAAGAGAAAACCTACCCCACTCCGTGATAGTGCACGTCTGAATCCGGCTGTCCGAAGTACAGGGTCACCAGGTCAAGGTCATCACGGGACAACCACGTCATCACTGTGTCCACTCTCTCCTTCCTTAGCAATAAAAACAAAAATAGATATTTTTGGATAATATTTGCATTTTTTTGTCAAGATAAGCTTAGAATTTACACATCTATACCAATGCCAAATCCTTTTACAACTAGAGAAGCAACATTTGCAAAGCAAATACTAATGCATAATGTTTACCTTCGGACATGGTCTGCCCTGCTAATTTTTACTCAAACACATTCACATACATGTACTACAAGTATATGGTGACAGGAGTAGAGCAGACCATGAAATTGCAACATTATGTAACCCAACACCAATCACCATGGTGGCAGACATCAACAAGTCATGTCATTGGTCAGGTCAGAGGTTAGTGTTTGGAAAAGAAGAGGAGGAGGAAGAAACTGAGTAAAAACAATATGTTTTCCTTCGGTAAACATAATCATAAGATCTGACGTATCTATTATTCCATAATATGCAGAGAAACATGTCCCATGAAATGACAAGGAAACCGTCTCAAAACACCCAGCCACATTTTTCACTATATAGATTACAAACATGGCTGGCTTCGAGCTTGAAAAAAATGTTTTACCAAATGCAAAATGACCTGCGTTTTATGGTTTTACGCTTTCGGTGGAACCTATTATCTCAGGGCAGTTTTTCTTCTGCTGTAAATCGTCTAGTAGACGCGTTTGCGTGCGGTCATGGCTTTCGGTTTCTTTTTGCACGGTCATAACTTTCAGTGTTGCTAGAAAAATGGAGTTTTGCGCAAAAGCGAGTCCCAGGCCAAGATTCCATCCAGATGAGTTTCAGTCTTGAAAACGTAACGCGCTCTGATTGGCCAAGACAATGTGGTCCCACAAATAGATCAGGTAGCCATGCCTTCAAATACCAGAGTTATCAACCGAGGATTGAGGTGTTCAAGAATTCATTCTTTCCTAGAACTATCGCAGAGTGGAACCTGCTGTCACCAAGTACAGTAGGGGCATTGTCATTAGAAAGCTTTAAGCAATGTCTAGAGTTAGATGTTCAAGGGTTAGGTGTAACAAGTCGATCGGTGTAATGTAGCCAGCTTGTAATGTAGCTGCGAAGCTGGTGTGTTACGCCGAAAGGCGGTTATAACGGCTATACAGATACAGATATAGAGGTGTGCGTAAAACTGTTTTTTGGGCTAGTCAAAAACTTACCAGTCCTCTAGCGTGTCTGTCGTTGTTGCCATGGGAACGATCTTATCAGCGCGCATCCCTTTAATGCCGACACTCCCTCCGGGAAAGAAGTACGTTCCCACCCGTTTGCCCTGTATCTTTGCCGTTATCCAGATGGGTTCTGCCCCTGCATTCATCCACCTGCTATTCGTTAGACTGTCCGGCCAACCAATGCGCTCCCCCGTGGTGACGTCATAGCAGACGTTGTGGACCACCCCATGGCTTTCTGGGTATTGTCCTAGTAAAACGGAGGAAAAAAGGACGAATGATGTAAAATTGTTACAAAGAGCTCCAAACCAAAAAACCTTCATAATTCTTTGAGGGTGGGTCATTCTACACCTGATGGAGGCAAAACATGGTAAACTGTTATCTATGGGTTGGATCAACAGGAAAATATTTTTTTCATTGCTAAACTTTCAATTGGAACTTCATAGATGTAGCTTGGGTATTTGTCTACCGAGGCGTCATGACCCCCCCCCCCCAACTGGTCTGTATCTTTGTCGGTATAGCTGGTATAACCGCCATTCGGCGTAACACACCAGCTTCGTGGGCACGCGGCGCGGCGGCAGCTAGCTACATAACACCAAACGACGTGTTACACCTTCCCCTTGGACATCTGTGAGTTAGTATCCGTTTCAATGAGGGCCATGGGGCTTGTAGTTGGGCCACCGACTTTCCTTTTGGCGTCCGATGAACAGACATTTACAGAATCTACCAATTAATTGATTTATAAAGTTTCATATTTGAAAACAACATGAACGGAGTGAATGACCGGTTAACTACAGTAAGGGTTACTTCCGGTCATTTCACGTTATCGCGTGTATGGATGAAAGGGTGAACTATTGGCCCGCAGCTTGCAGAGACCGCAGCTGCCTACCTTAATGATCCCGTTAGCCTGTGGAACACAAACCAATAGGGCGCAACAAAGCGGATGTAACTCTATTATATCCTCTAAAGAACAAGAAACTGCCATGCCTTCAAAGAGAGTTTGTATCAACCAAGAATTGAGGTGTTCAAAAACTCGTATTTTCCAAGAACTATCGTAGGGCGAACTCGTTTCCAAGAAGCACAGTAGGGGCATCATCGCTAGAAAGTTTTAAACAACTCCTGCAGTTAAATGTGCGAAGATTGGGTGTCACAGGTCGTTCGGTGTAGCTAGCTGCCGCCGCGCCGCGTGCCTGCGAAGCTGGTGTGTTACGCCGAAGGGCGGTTATACCGGCTACACAGATACAGTAGCTGGTGTGTTACGCCGAAGGGCGGTTATACCGGCTATACAGATACAGATACAGAAGCTTGTGTGTTACGCCGAAGAGCGGTTATACCGGCTATACCGGCTATACAGATACAGGAGCTGGTGTGTTACGCCGAAGAGCGTTTTAATACATGTATACCAGCTATACATATACATATTTTCGTGTTGGGACTAAGGCTTAAACTTTGTAACCAAAGTTAGACTTGATGTGACTTGACTTGGTATAATGACCTGTTTTGGATACAAAAGTCCCAAGTACCTGTCACCATGGTCCAGTGGCACGGAGCGCTGAGGCTGACGAAACATGGCGTCATGTACGGGACTCGAACTCCGGACCTCGTGACGTCATCGAAGTTTGGAGTGTCCACGTCGTCGGTGTAGTCCCACCTCAGGCCATCAAAGGAGACGAGGAGCAGTTTCTGACCAGCTACAAGGAAAATGAAAGACTGGAATGGTAACATTTGCAAAGCCAATGCAGAGGTTTACATCCATATACATGGTCTAACCTAACGAACTAATGCTCTGTTTGTTCTTACTCAAAAACATTCATATACTAGACTATGGTGACCATCCCCTCCCAACTCATTAGCTACATAATGTAATCCAACACCGCAGGGTGTCTGCTACAGCATCAGTTACCATCATGGTGACAGACGTCTGGTCCAGGTCACTGACCTTTCGTGTTTGAAGAAGGAGAGGACGAAACTGAGCGAAAACAATGTGTTTTCCCTGTGCGAAGGTAAAGATTTAAACATAATTCTTGATTTGCTGAATGAACTGGCTCAAGACCACCAGAAATGGTGCAGGATACTAAGAAAGTATAGTCTAGTATCCAAACGTATTATACTCGGGGTCGAGTCTCTTTTGTACCTTCCGCAAATAGAAAACAGACACAAGAGTTTGGCCATGCAAGCTGAAGAAAGATGCGGGCTACTGAAATGATCGAGCAGACAGATTATTATATATTATTTTAATACAAGCCCTACTGCAACACAAATGATTCAATTAAGTTTTGCAATTCACCGGAGTATAATAAGTACAGAGCAAAGTAGCGCTGAAAACCGGTATGTAGGTCTAAGGTCTTAAAGGTTAAACCACAGGTAATTTGTTCTACATCGTGCCAGTTCAACGGGCTCGAACCCTGACCCTGTGTGCCCCGTAGTTTTGATAATGACACACTCTACAGTGACCTATGGTTCGACTCTGCCAAGTTACTCCAAGGCACAAATGGCTGGAGGAACAAATGTCAAGAAGAAAGTTTGGAAAAGGTCAACGTTCTGGGCTACCCCAGGTGGTTTGCTTAATCTCCAAACCAAGCTGTCGGTAGCCCAGTACATTAGAGTTGAAAAACATTGGCTGACATGAAGCATTGCACATAACGTGCGTGTCAGTTTCATGTCGAGAGGTTATGTGTAACGTCAAGAAGAATGTTTGTAAAATGTCCACGTTCTGGGCTACCCCAGGTGGTTTGTTTAATCTCCAAACCCAGCAGTCTGTACCCAAATACATTAGAGGTGAAAAACATTGGCTGACATGAAGCATTGCACATAAAGTGCGTGTCAGTGTCATGTCGAGATGTTATGTGTAACGTCAAAAAGAATGTTTGTAAAATGTCCACGCTCTAGGCTACCTCAGGTGGTTTGCTTTAATCTCCAAGCAGATCCCTCTCGGTGGCAAAAAGAGAGTATCAAATCGGCCAGGCAGTATCCATTAGCCAGAGAAGCTCCGCGGCCACCAAAAAAAACGGCCATATATAAAAAGGTAACGATCATTCCCCACAACCTCTGCTTGGAGAGTAGTTTGCTTAATCTCCAAACTCAGCAGTCGGTACCTAAAAGGACATTAAAGGAGGGAGGTTGAAGAGCTTTTCTACTTTCTGACTACCCCGTTATTATTATACGAGGGCCTTGACTCGTCTCCCTTTTCATTTCATCCATATCCAGGTGCATTGGCCCCTTAAAAATGTTATCCGTGACTTGACCCCCCTATAATTTCAACCAAATCCAGGATTTTCTTCTTCTTAACCCCCCACTCCAAATCCAACAAAATCCACACCCACTAACCCCCCTATGTAAAATCCGACCTCTAGAATCCCCCCCCTCCTCATTTTTTTTTGAACGGCCCATTGCAGTCATACCGTGCATAATAAATAAATGGTACTAGGTAGGCACGTACATGTAGGTATAAAGTTCGTGTCAGTGTCATGCCGAGGTTATATGTAACGTCACGTACCGTTAGCAAAGGCCAAACACGAGCAGAATAGAACCAAAGTCAGCCAGGGTTCCATACTGATGTCCGTTACTGCTAGAAGAGGCCTAAGCAAACGTGCACTTTGACCCCAGTGGACTTTGCACTCTTCATGCGGCAACTCTGAATAGCTACAACTAGCATCAATGTGAAAAAGGAAATAAGTTAAAAACTTACAAAAACCTAAAACCTTACATATGAAAAAGAACAATATCTAGAGGTATATTTTATACTTAGTTTATACTTATATTTTATACTTACGTCATTATCGGATATACTTCTTTTGACACTTAATCTTTTAACGCTAAAATGTTACAATTGTAAATGTGAATGTACATGTAATTTACAACAGAGCCTGCAATGTTGTTTTTGATGAATAAAGTAAAGTATAAAAGTTGTACATCTAACACAGTGGCGTACGTGTAAAGGCTGCACGATCCTCCAAGCCATGAGACTTCGTTACTTTCGTAACATATGATTCAATAAAGTTAGTACTACTACTAACTTTTGAACTGTGAATACGACACCTTTACAAAGCCGAATGCCTTGTGCTGTCAGATGAAAACTCAACTCAATAACTCGCGACATTTTCACGGCTGGGTGATCAAAAACTGAACTCAATAAGGCCTGACATCTTCATGCCTCTTTGATCGAAGAAAGCCTAATAAGACGTGACATGTTCATGGCTGTGTGAGCAATATCTTTGTGAAAGACCTTTCGGTTTAGATGAAATGATCGAATCCTTTTGCTTGAATGCTTCATGTCTGGAGCACAAAGAATTAATGAGCGAACTTTGTCCACCAATCTCTTTATACAGAGTCTCTAAAAATCTTACATATAACGCAGGTCTCCAATACTATAAATAGTTCACGCAGGCAATGCATTGAGGATGATGTTGTTTGTAGTTCGGTAACCGGGTGCATTGTCCTGTTACGATAAGGACATTGCACTGTATGTCATTCAAATTCAAGAAACTTTACTTTGTTCAGCCATTGCTTAGGGAACTTTTAAACTGATTTACCATCAAGACGAAGCAACAAAGGAATCTGCTCAGTTCTGATAAAACGTCTGACATATCGGCTTGACAAAGAACACCTTAGTGTATAAGGTCCTGCCCGCAATGCAAGCCCCTGCCAACATCATCGTGGCCTGTTGGTAGGGACATCTCTCAGTTGTAAGAAAAGTTATCGGCAAGGTCGTGATACTGCGGGTTTACAGGGGAAAGATGCCCCCCACCCCACCAGTGACCACAAATGGAACACGCGTTCGGTTCGAATGAACATCGAACATATGATCGAACATTGCTCCATGACCACCCCACCAGTGACCACAAATGGAACACGCGTTCGGTTCGAATGAACATCGAACATATGATCGAACATTGCTCCATGACCACTACCCAATGCTGGCGGTAGGTTGGGAGCAGTCTGACCATAGTTAGGCTATGCCCATCTTTACTGACGACCATGTCACAACTATTTAACAACATTGCGACAACTGTATCTTTAATAGTTCAGATTTTCGAAGAGTAGCTTCTGCTGTAGACCGGTCAAGAAACTACAGATGCCTGGGTGAGGAATATTGCAGGTGCGAAGACTTTATCCAAAAGCTAGGAGGGAGCAAAGAGTTGAAAGGATGCTAACATCTGTGTCCATAATATCACCACCTTAAGAAAAAGAGTGCTTAAAGATATTTTTACTGCAACATACCCTAGGTATGTACATTTTATGTGTGAAGGAGTGCATACCAAAAGTATGTTGCAGTAAAAATATCTTTAAGCACACTGTTTCCCAAGGTGGCGATATTATGGACCCTGGTGATATTATGGACACAGATGTTACATCTGGTGTCTTACGCCGTGTAATATACCAGCTATACAGATACAGATACAGAAACTCGCTTAAAACACCAAGACTGTGCCGGGGCCTTTATGTAACGGGACCCCGCTGTTACATAAAATATACACAGTCGTTTTAGAGACTGGTTACTTACCCTCAATGCGTACGTTGGTCGACTTAAATCACTGGTTACGCTCCTAAGGGTTCAACACTACAACGTGAGTGTACATATTAAATCAAAGTCTTTCGAGACTGGTTACTTAAAGTTATTATAAGGGTTGCTACAAGAGCTGTCGATGGGCTTTTCTTTACTGTTAATGTACGTTATAGCACTACCGTTGAGTGGTCGATCGAATACTAGTAGACTAATGGACGCCCGATCAAGAGATAACTAGACGTTGCATCCTTGGGAAAGGCACTTCACGCGACTTTCGTCACTAGCACTCCACCCAAATGCGTACCTGACTTTGGTTTCTGACGGTAAAAGAAAGAGGAAGTGGGCTCGGGAACGTAACCAGTGATTTAAGTCGACAAATGTACGCACTGAACCTAAGAGCTGACTAAAGTGGCTTTATCTTTTGCACTCCGACTGCGAAGCTTTTACGTAACTGGCTCACTTGTAAATCAAGGTATAAAGGTACATTACATAGCCTTTTGAGCCTGTAGGAGCAGTTGGTTGTTAATCCACTGTGTCTAGGGCATGGTATTGGAAGGCGGAGCCCATCCCTCTCCTCCCACCGACTTTCATCCCCCAACCGAAGCCAGGCATGTTAACCGAGATGAACAGAATCTACTTTTCTCATATCTTGAAATGCGAACTAAGATACAAATGTCACAATGTTGTGAAATAGTTGGGAAGATAGGCGTGGCCTAAAACTGGTCAGACTGCTCCCAACCTACCGCCAACCCTGAAAGCCGGTGTCTTAAAAGCAGGTAGGACAATGTAAAGATGATATTCCGTCCATATTCTTGACTAAACATTCGAAAACCATAGACGGAATAGCTTTATATACGAGGGACTCCGTATGCAACGGGCAAAATTCCGATGCAACATTGTCCATATACGAGTGGCTAACAGCAATTGTTGTAATTCCAAAACGTGTTATTCCAACACATACATGTTTTGTAATGGATCACGTTTTGGAATACGACGGGATTTCCTATTCTTAATATTCCAAATCACGTTTTGGATTGGAACGCGTTTTGTAATGCAAAAGTAACCGTGATAAATTCCGGGTTTTGCGCAAACGCAGGTTACTATCATATGCACATAACGTGCGATAGGTGACAACCTCTTTGTAGTTGGTACACGAAGCCCTAGTGTTAACAGCCCCCCGCTGCCTCGTGCGTACACAGGAAAGGAAACTGTCGTGTTCGTCTAATTACCTCCAACCGCGCGTGCCGAGGTTCTGCCACAGAAAGACCTAAAGACAGAAAGATGTGGGGTCGTGTGGCGTAGCGGCAGTGTACGCGACTCGGAACTTAGAGTCCCGGGTTCGAGTCCTGACATGCCACCGATCCTGTGCCCTTGGGAAAGGCACTTTACACGGCTTTCCTCACTTAGCTTAGGTGTAAATGAGTATTGTCCTGTCATGTATTTGTCCCCTGTGTTGGTGGCGGCATTAGTATAAGTTGAAAAAACTTGAGTGTGCCGTCACCACATCTGGTGATTGCATGTTGGAATAAAAAAAAAGAAAGACCTAAAAAGCGATTTCAGGGCAGTCAAATACATGTTTCAACATAGTGATATCTGTCTGGCGAGAATCCAGAAGCCAGATAAAAAACGCCTGACAAATAATATTGCACATACTGTTGATTCGTACGGTTGATGAAATTTGAAATCATTACGAAGAAATGTACTACTGCTCGTAAAACTACAATCGTGAAGTTACAACATTTAAGCCTTGTCCTGCTGGCATTTTCATACAATATTTTTCAATACTTTCATGTCTTCAGGTCATAGGCCCTTGACTTTTTTTGCCCTGCGGTGGCGTAGTTACTTCCGTATGTGTGGCGTTATATCACAAGAAATCAAATCAAGAGCCTGTGTGTTAGTACACGGCGAAAACATCCGGCCTTTAATCATCGTTTCATTACTGAATGGTAAAAATACGTTTCCTCTGCCTGTGATATGTTATCTGTGATGAAAGCAATCAAAGATGACAAGTCGGGGAAGGCTGCTGGACATCCAAGTAATGAGATACGCCAAAAAACAGTTACTCAGACACGCAACTGGATATGCGTTATATCCAGTTGTTTGAGTAACTGATTTTCGGCAATCAAAGCTGATTTTGTTCCTGTTTTTTTTACCGGAAACCACTTCTAATACAAGGCAGAAACCGTGCTGGGTGTATTCTGGCACCGGTGTTTCCTGTCTTGTGTTAATGTGAAGACTTATTCTCCATACAGAGGTTTTAATTAGTCTTTGGCTTCGGGATTGACGTGTTTTTAAGCGTTTTTATCGGGCTTTCTGTTTTGTTCTTGTATTTTTGGTCCGCCAGCCGTATGGTATGCTGTGAACGATGCAGTCTTTCAGACACTGAAAGATCTGCTTGGAGATTTGATTTATTGGGGAAGACTTCATTTATTGTCTCGATACGTGCCAAAAGCCGGTTTCTCCTTTCAAAATGAAGCACAGTTAGTTTTTGACAATGTGCATATCGCTTCACGATATGTTCACGTATAATATGCCATCTGAAACTGTGATGTACTAGTAATCGAAAAAAATGTACATTGAGGCGAGGGAAGAGAATGATATGAATGATACTTATTTTTCTGTCATTACTGCAATTAAAAGTCATTGTTGCTTGTTTTTCGTTTGTGAATGCAGAGCGGTAGTGTCTGTTGAATGCGGAGGGATCATACCTGTTGATTGCTCACTTTCAAAAAGTGGTAGAAACTATTTACCTTTCTCACGATACTTGTTTTTCCCTCATTACTGCAATTAAAAGTCATTGTTGCTTGTTTTCAGTTTGTCAATGCGGAGGGATTGGGCCTGTTGATTGTCTTCTTTCAAAACATGGTAGACGGTACTTTCTCCTCTCACGATTGGAATCTCTCCTGTCGCTGCGACAGATGAGTAGGCGTATATACAGGTCTTCATTTGCCGATGTGGGTCCTCATATGGGAATGAAGACCAATTTTTGACGCACATGAGCGGCCACAGATGCTGCAAGGGAAGGACTGGACAGGGATGGAGCATTGTTTCCTCCTCTCTTTCTTCTCCTTTATGGCAGCTGC